AATCGAAAGCGGGCAAAAACCATTGTGATATTCGGAATCAGCACGTTCGATTACCTATTGTCAACTGAGTTTAAGCTCAAAAGCGAGGAGGCAGTTGGTGGCCTTCCCTCGTTAGATCAAAAATTTGACTTCTCAACAAGATGTCTCTGAGCTGACCACAATGTAATGTTGAATAATTATAAATATTTCAGAAAGCGCTTCATTGATATAAATGCCATTTATCATTCGCATGTTCAATCTCACTTAGTTTGTATTATACAACAGTACATCCTTCCTTATATTGTATCTAAACTGAGGACAACAATAGGAATAGGCAAAGAGTTTGAAGCAAGGAAAAAACTTTTAGTCCACCTTGAAAATATTAGATCTTCATCATTTTAAGTATAATTTTGAGAAAATAAGGGAGGTGGACGCTATTTAATTTGGGAAGCGATTAAAAAAAACTGGTTTCAAAAATCTGGAAGCACAAATTGAAGTTGGTCATATCATTTTTTCGAACATCAGATAACTGTAATGTTTATATCTGTCTCTTTAGAAGAGCAATGGTATTAGTCATCTTCGTCGGTTAATGAAGTTATGAAACATGTGATAAAAATAGTAGTCATCTTTCATTTCATTAATAGTCAGTTCATTTATGTACTCGTATAGAAAGAGGCCCATGCCAAGTAATTCGAATAGAAAACGTTATCGTCGATCTTCTCTTCCTATTACCGATCAAAAATCGATACACAGCTGCTCATCACCGAGTAGAACGATTAGTTCAACACACATTCTCTATTCCCCATTACAATCTATCAATAGTAGCAGTCGTCAACATGGTCGAAAATCCTCTCATACAAAAAATTGTTCATCAACACCAAGACAAATATCAAATACGTCACAACAAGACAAACGTCATTATAAGGGTAATTTCGATAGCTATAATTGATGACTGTAGATCCGATATATTTATCACTGGCAGTTTAATTATAAAAATGAGCTAATTTCTTGAAGGAGTAGCTGTTGACATAGAACGAGTTTCAAAGTGGACCCAATGCATTTTTTATACTACAGCTAAATTTAGATGAAAAGGTTCTGCCTACCTATTATTCCTATCAAGAAACTTCACTTTATTTTACGTTTATATACCGTATTACTTATTCAACACTGGTTTACTCCTTCGGTAAGGAAAACAAGTTTCACCTTCATTACATACGCTCTGTTTACATGTTCAAAATGCATTTTTTTCGTTTCGAAGTTCTCTACGTTGGATATTATGAACAAAACATTGTGTAAATCTAGTTTTTTAAACAAAAAATTTAGTAATCTTCAACCGCTGCAATTTTTTCTTAAAAACAGTTTTGGCCCTTTTTACATAAATCATAAAGTTTTTTAATGGAAATGTCGAGCAACAATTTTTATGAGCCATGGTAAACAATCTAGTTTACCTTTCATTGGATAGTCTCACGTAACAATTCAGCCTACCGTTCTCCTCTGATTAAAAAAGAGGGATACGTTTCTCATGTATTAAAATATCGACAGGGGTGACTTCCTCCCTTCGTGTTTTTGACCTTGTCGAAAAATATAAACCCCATGTCTTAGCTGGCTGAAATTTTTACCAGAAATACTTCAGTTCCTATCTCGTATTCAAATCTTTTTTTCAAGAAATATGCTTTTCTTCTCTAAACATTCGAAAATACTAAACATTTTTCAAACCTCGGCTTTTATACATGGAGAAGAAAAGATTCTTGAAAAAAGATTTGAATACGAGAGAGGAACTGAAATATTTCTGATAAAAATTCAATACTTATAGGACATATGATTCACATTTTTCAACAAGATCCAAAAACAAGCAGGAAGTACTCTAAAAAACACTAATTCTTGTTTTAAGATAAAAATGGTTCTCGTCGTCGACATGATTTCAAACAACCTGAAGATAGTCGTCCATGTCTTAATCATTCACGCGATCCTCCTTATCGTCGGCATTATCGATCATCAGCTTATCATCAGTGTCAACGACGACGACTAAGTTCTCATTCTTCTAGTTACTCAATTCCTCCTCTATCTAACGAACGAACAACATCACAACGTATTGATTTAAATCGTTTAGCAAGTTATTCTCCAGGTCGACATAATTTCTATGCACGAAAAGATGATTATCGTCCTTTACAACATCGTGATTCATCTTTACTTGAATCTTATAATCGGAGTCGGTTTAGCAGTCGAACAACAATGTATTGTGCATGGGAACGTCATAGAAGTCGAAATGGACGAATATACTATTATAATACTGAAACTGACCGATCACAATGGGAAAAACCAGCTAAATGGAATAGTCAAGGCTGTAGAAAACATCGTGTAAATTTTCTCTTGTATATAATGCAATCACTCACATACACGCTCTCTAATTAAGAGTGGTTTAGTTTGAATGAAATATCCACAGAGTTCCACAACTGCTCGTAAGAGTGAGAAGCGACTAGACCGTGTCCTTCTTTCCCCTCTGTTAACTGAACATTAAGCAAGTGCTGACTACCGAGAAGAAACAAAAAAAACTTTTTTAGCTCTTGGAATATGTGATCACGAGACCGAGATCAAAACGAGCTATTTTATCGTTCCTATTTGATTCGTTCGATAAATTTTTTGTTTTCATTCAGCACTGGTTGAGTGGTAATCAAATATTTCTTCTTTTCTTTCACTCTCTCTTTAGTACTCAATTGCGAGTGATAACGACGATTTATTTTATGCGCTAGCTGAAAATCGTCAAGTTGAACAACAAGAACATGTTTTATTACGTAGAAAAGTTCAACAAAAAGAAAATTTATGCTGTAAACCTGCTTTAGCTGGCTGTCATATTTTCCGGTCATCATTTGAAGAACAACGGCGTCGATACGAAGAACTGTTTCGACATCGATCAACAGACTGTTCAGCCCATCCGTATTATTATTCTCCTAACCATTTATCACCGTACAATGTTGAACTTCATCCACCATCACCAGATACAGATAAAGAGAAACGAGAGAAAAAGAAAAAGAAAAAGAAAAAACATCGTAAACATAAAAAACGTCATCGTCAATCATCAAAATCTCTCCAACCTTCTACAACAGCAAGTTCTATATCTGTTCGAGTTCTAACCGAAAATAGTGCACAAACTTCACCAACGAGTCAGCCAACAGGGGCAATTAAAAGACAAATTGAAGGGTAAGCCATGGTAGTACGTAGTTTGAAAAGCAACCGTAAAAGGAAACTTTAATTCTCTAGACCCCGTTCCTCGTCTCTCTTAAACGATCATATAACATGTGAGGCTATTCAATATTATGCCGCTTTTTTCAAACAACAGCAGAAGTTACTTCAAAATGAACAGTTACAACAGCGACACAGTAATACAGAACAATTAGGACGATTAATAGGAGGAACTCCAACCTCTGACAAACAAATACTCATAACACTAAACCAAACTCCTATCCTCATGCCAAATTTTATTTCATCACCTCAAATGTCATTAAAACGAAAATATGAAACGATAAAACAGGAAAATCAACAAAAAGATAAAGTAAGATAAGAACATGCCATTTATCCAGCCAAAAATCAGATTAATTTTGTCCTGTATAGTACGAACATTTCACAATGAAGCTGATTTCCACCAGTGAAACAGCTAAATTGACTATTTCTAATTCATCTCGATCAACATCACAACTACCACCACCACCACCACCATCATCGTTGGCGATGATCGATTCAGCTACAAATTTCGAAGGATTGAAATTGAATCTTGCTGAATGTAAATCGCTGCTTATAAAACCAAGTATAAGTCCAAGCAGTACAGTAGTGATGATGATGCCGCCGCTCACCTCTCAAGATATCATTGATTCGATACAAGATGATGTTGAACAACCATCACCAACTATATCACAACAAACATCTACAAGTCCAACACAAACAAATAACTTATCAACAGGTGAGATGTGCACATAAATATAATGAAGTTTTTCCAATTCTAATGTTCATTATAGATATTAAAAAGTATTACCGTGCTGAATTGATTGAACATTTACTAAATTGGCCATCAACACCATTGGAAAAAGATGCATTGCGTATATCAAATGATTACTATCGTTATTCAACATCATTAGCGACACTAAGAACAGATTTGTTCCTAAATAAACTTAAATATCAATGGGGAGAAATCCAGTCATGTAAATATCGTGGTATATTGAAATATTGTAACTTGGTCATGAATGAATTACAAAAAGTAGATAATCAAACAACATCGACGATCGAACAAAATACAACAAAAAATAGTCTAAATTCAGGCGTACAACTTACTATAAATACAAACAATACAGTTTTTTGACTACAAACGGTTTTTCTATTGAAAAACAACAATCAGTGAAACACTAATCATCCGCAATTCTGAACGTGGAAATACGCAGCCTGCAAATTAACTATTATATTCTAAAACTCTTCCGTATTTTCCCCGTTACACAGTTTGGCTAAAGTCAACAACATAAATGACTATCATATGTTCATATCAACATGATAACTTTTTTTCACATCTATTTGGATGGACTTGTCATCAATCTATGTCGAACAGACATGGAAAGCATCCTGTTTAGTCTACTAAAAATCTATCCGTTGATCAAAAATAGTAGTTGGTTAGATATACGTATGTCTATATTCGCCTATCTCTAGGTTTGTGCATAAAGTATTGAAATGCACAAAATGCAGGTTATAACGCCAAAAAGTTTATTATGCCTATATAGTAAACATTATTTATAATGAATTCACTGATTAATATTATGATTTTCAGTTCATTTTGTTTAAAATAAAAACAAGTAAATGTAACAGTATAGAAGAGACGATCTTGTTTCTCCATTTTCTCTCATTCAACGATTGAGAAACATCTTCACTATCGATATTCTTGCACATAATTAAAGTATTTTCGTTGCTCATTTATAGTAAAGCGATTCTGTGAACATTTATTAGATCTTTAAAATAGGCTTTTCTAGTGCTTAAGCTTAGTTCCTTCAGTCAAACATTGATTGGAGGCGATAGAGTGAAATTTAATATTTTCAAAATATGTTGAATATATATCAATTATGAAAAGGTCCAACTTACGAGGGAACGTTCCCAATTGATAAATCGCTTTCGGACAGAAACCTAGTGGACTATAGGTAGTCGACCATGCTGATTCTGAATATCGACATGAGACGCGCTGCTAGGTCTCCAGAGACTGGTTTTCTAGAAAACCAGTTTTCCAGAAACTCCAGAAAATCTCTGAAACTTTTCTTAATAAGTCATGTTTGTAGCGCGCGAAATTCTGATTAAAATAAAACATCCCCCAGCTCTACACGACCTTTCTTTGCAAAGTTATAGAATTTACAAGAAGAGCCCTAAATGTTCATTGTCAGCTCACGACGGAACCTCTCATGGTTATAAATCGCTTTTTGATCGAAATCTAGTGCGTTATAGGTTCAGCGACCATGCTGATTACGAATATGATTATGGGAGCTGCCCACGGGCCTTCGAAGATCCAGTTTTCCAGAAACTCTAACGAACAGCCAAAACCTTTCGTAAGGAGACATAGTTGTAGCCCGCAAATTTCTGATTAAAATGAGACATCTCCACCTCTACGCGACCTTTCTTTGCAAACTTATAGAATTTATAAGAAAAGCCCTAAATGCTCAGAGCTACAGAAAAAAGAAATTCTTCTCAAGCCTTCTGAAGCTGTTATGCAAAACAGAAGAAAAAGACAGCATCAATACTTGTTTATGTTGTTATTTTTCATCGTTAATTTCTCTGCCTAATTTCTTAGTTAATTTGATCAATACTCGTTTTACTTGCTTATTTTGCATTCTGTCTAAGTCTATATTTTAACGAAATACGGATCGATAAAAAAAACAGATCTGTTCGTACCTAAATTTGCATTATCATTCTTTCGGTATATCCCGAAAGGTTTCGGAATTTTTCAGATCTACAGTTCAAACTATAGATTAACTGCATAAATTTCGTGCGTATTGCCTCAAAGTATAGCAGAGCGTCACCTACAATTATGTATGATTCCATCTGACGTTATTTTATTTACACAAGCACACACTCACGGTGAAAAAATACTATTAAGAGAAAAAATAAATGTGTAAGAAGAAACTAGAGATTCGTATCTGCTTATATCTGACAAGTATACAAAAAAATAGTACAAAAAAAATATAATATTTAAGTATTTCCATGTGGTTCTAAATCCATCGTGAATGGAGCAGCAAAGGCTGGTTGTTCCGAATGTTCATGATACAAAATTTCGACCTAAGAGAAGAAAATCATGAAAAAAATTTCATCGCATTTAGATGAGAGGACGATTCAAAATGTTTCATGTGAAATCAGGAAAGTCTATTTTACGAAAGAAAATTGATCCTACTAAGAAGAAGAAATGCTCAAATTAACAAATGACATACTTGTTCAAGATAACTTTGAAATTGTTTTTGAAATTGATTCACATAATTTTGGCAATGTTCAACATTCGAATTGATTTCCTCATCTATTTTCATTAATTTTGACCAATTTGTTTCATCAAAATTCAATTGACTTGAGTTAATAACCATCTTCTCTAATTGCAAACTGCCAATCAACAATTCATCGTCATAATTCCATCTAAAGCACGGTAATAAAAAAGATTCATATATTATATATCAAAATAAAAACCTCATATTTATTAATTACCTTTCTCTCGCTTTCATTTCACTATTTGGTGATTGCGCTGGTGTTCGGTCAACAGTAACAATACCTAGTAGTTCTTTTAGCGACTTTAAATCTTTTGATTGTTCACCAGGCGTTGATTGTAACATATCATCTTTACTATTATCCATTTGATCTTCATCTATGACAATAGAATAAAACTGATCTGTTTGCCATTTGAAAACAGTGGCAAGTATATCTGAACATAATCTTTTGTACAATTCATTTATTGGATAAAGTTTTGGGGCAAAATTATTCAATAAATGCTCATAACTAAGTAATTTTGATTGTAAACTTAAATATTGAAATGATTAAATTAATTGAAGTAAAGTTATTAAACGAGTAGACACCAAAAATATGTATTGCAAAGTCTCACCGATCTAATTCTTCAATTAGATTATCGTTGAATATTGTAGTTAAAATTGAATCCAATTGTTTAATATTTTGTTTTTTCTCATCTATCCTTGTTCGTACTTGTTTAATTTCATCTCGTATATCTTTCATACTCGGCTCATTTTTATCTTCTGTTTGTAATGTAAATAATTTTTTTTTCAGTGCATCAACATAAACTTCGGACGACTTTGTCTGAAAAAGAAAAAACTCTAGTCTAGAGCATCAGCCAACGGCCTCTTTGTATTTTCCACTTGAAGTGACCTGTAAAATCTTAATAATATCATGTCTCAAATAGTTAAGAATTACTCAAATAACGTAGCAACGACTGCTTCTTTCGGTTAATGTATGTATCAGTAATGCTCGTTCTCTGGGTAGAACAAAGAAAAAAAATAGCATTAAACCGACTCTATTTACTATTGCACTGGCTACCAATACTCGTAGCTCTATGGAAAAAGAGCTAAGATCGAAATCAATGCTTAATAACGTAATGCATACTCATCCACAGAATATAGAATACTTACAGCAAGCATTGTGTCAATTATATTCGTTGTTTGCGATCGTTCAGTTTCATTACGTAAATTAACAATCTCCAATTTCATCGCATTCACTTGCTCTTCAGTTTCATGGCAGTGAGCTTTTTCACGTTCTAACAACAAAAATCTACAAAAAGAAAATTTTATTGTATTAAGATTATATAACTTTTTATTTAACTAATTCACACTTACAAGGGAACCTTCCATATGATCTACAACTTTACTTATTAAATCTAGTTTTTCTAGAGTAACTCTTGATGATGTTCGCTTTTTGTCCTTTTTAAGAGTTTTTAAGTGGATCTTTAGAAGTTTGATCTTTAGACATTCATCACAACTCTCAGAAACAAGAGATTCTGATCCGGTCACTTTGTAGTACCCGTCGAGTTGCCTCTGTGAAAACATTTTTAGAACTACCGAACAAGTTGCAATAGAGTTATAAAAAGTTTACCATCAAAACATCCTTAAAAGTTAGATATATCGCTGTAAATGAGATTAATATTTTTGTAATTCTGTTAAAACTCATTCGACAGTTCTAAAAATTCTTTTACAGATGCAATTCGATGCTTTTTACAAACTGACCAGGTCAGAATTTTCCATTCTCGAAGTCATAACGGATGTGTAAAGATCAGACTTCTAAAGATCCACTTAAAAACTCAATAAGGACAAAAAACGAACATTATCAAGAATTACTCTAGAAAAACTAGATTTAATAAGAAAAGCTGTGGACCATTTGGAAGATTCTCTTGTAAGTGATAACAACAAAAACCAACGAAAAATAGATTTTTCTCCTGTTTTGCTACCATTACTGGAGTCTTTTTACATACTTTTTGACATAGGCTAAATTAATTTTATTTAATGTTTGATTATATGTCAAGGTTTGGTATTCATTATGCGTAACGACACTAGCAGAATTACCACTGTCAATCGAGTTAAGCTTCCTAAAAAGTTCAAACGGATAGAATGTCAGAAAACACTGATCAGTGTTTTCTTTATCTTCTCAAGAAGAAATTTTGATTTTTACATCACATCTTGAATTCTTTTTTGAACAATTGTACAAGCACATTGAAATAGAATATTTAATGTTAAATCATAACTTCGTTCCAGAAATTTTGTTGAAACAAATTGAAGTTTTTCGTGTTGTTGATATTTAACAGTCTCCACTTGATCAGTATAATATTGATGAAGTAAATCAATGATATTTGTCAATTCTTCAGTTAATACTAGAATAACAAGCGTAAGTGAAATAGTCGAATCGGTGACAGAACTAGACTATGATTATATTTGTAGTTCTTCCTATATTCTATTTTTGTTAATTTTTCAGAATAACATTTCTAACTTTGTTAATTGAACAAGTAATCTTTTAACTTTATCATATTTACTTTCATTTGGTTCAATTGGTCCATTTTTTTTGTTCATCAATGTCGTTGTTACAACGACAATATCTTGTTTATCATTTTTCAAGCTAATTAGTTTTGTTGAAAATTCTCGTAATTTTGTCATTTTATCCAAAAACTGTTTAAATATAAATAAATGATTTTCCAATGATTTAATATTCATAATTTCTTTTTCACATTGATGATCAGTTTTTGCCAAATCATCATCCAATATTTTAATTTCCTTTTGTTTCTTTACATTATCATCGTGTTTCATACCTATTTGTATTTCTAGTTGACGACGTTTATTCTAAAGAAAATATGTATTTTATTACTACTTTCATATTTAATAAAGAAATACAATGAACAAACCTCTGAATTCAATATTTCTTTCCAAGAATTATGATGTTTTTCTTTTAAACGGGATAATTCAAGATTTTCGCGAACTTGTCTAAAAGTATAAGTGGTGACCAGATCCTTGTGTTATAAGATCACTATTTAACCTACTTTACATGTTCTTTGGAATAAAAATGGTCGCGCATATACTGCCATATAGGCTGAAAACTCTGAACTGTCGTCAAATAGCCGACATCATCAGGACGAACGTCGCCGACCGGAACATCATCTACAATTCGAAATAGAATGCCATAAACAGATAGAAGATAGATAGTTTTCTATTCTTTTACTTTGGATCGAATGAAACCAATTGAGTAGATGGTCTGCATTCATCTAAATAAACAAAAATATTCTTAAATAGTGTTCAATATAGTGAAATAATGTGAAATTTACAACAAAATTTCTAATAGCAAAGTGTATCCGTAGAACGTATAATTTAGATTTTAATCATACAGCCTTTACGTATCATGCCAAAAAAACTATAAAGTTCTACGGGCAAGATTTGCCGTTGCGATAGTCTTTTTTAAACTTTATATGCATTCAAATTGCTGATGCATTCTGTACCTGTACGGCATATCTTGGCCGTATGACTATAGTGTTAAAAACGCCCACCTGAATTTATTTGTACTAGATTTAAAGTTTTATTTGAAATTTCGTTTTCAGATCCATGTTCAAGTCCGGATTAAATCATAATGCAAGGATGGCAGAGACTGGTTCGAATCTAACTTACTTGTGTTTCGGAGTTAGTGTGAATCACTCACAAATTTGGATCTTGCTAGTTTTATTATACGCTTAAATCTAGACTAGAGTTGCCAGATGCTTAGGTCAGAAAAGCGGAAATTTTTTCCAAAATGCGAAAAAAAGTGGAAACACATTTTTCACCAAATGCAAAGGGTATCAACAAAACTTTTCTAGCGCTTTATGGTGGTTCCACTTAAGAAACAAAAGAAGTACATAACATCATTTAACTCCCAATTTGAATCGATATTGGCTTTTTGTGAATGCACGTTTTTGAACAACCGTCATAAATTTCAAGAGTTATGTATGGCACGATAAAATTTAATTCGAAACTTTTCTGCCTACGACAGCACTTAATGGTTAAAATTTTCTGATCGAGTTGGCTTCCTTGAAGATTTAGTATTTCACTATTTATTACACGCCCTTTTAGCAGTACTTGAGACAAGCTAATGTTTTTCTGTTTGCGCTCACTACTGGAGCAAATTTCTAATTTAGTTCTCACAACAGTGCGCATCTGTCTTATAAAAGTTGCAAAAAGACAAATTGCGGACACTCTGCGGAAAAAACTACAGCAAGTGGAATTTGTCCGTAAAATGCGGCTAATCTGACAGCTCTGGTCCTGTCATATGATCTAGTCAAGTCCACACCAGGTATGCTTTCTCTGCTGTGCTTATCTGTATGCGGCGACATTTTTCGATAGCACAATTTGAAAAACAAGTGCCATTACAAGTGTCCATAACATCGTGTTAGTTTGGAATAACCGGTTCTTTTTCAATCATCAATCCGTTTTAGAACAATCAGAAGTACATAAAAATTCTCTTTAGTCTCAAGTTCGTACGGTAGTGCATGGACAGCATTATCGTTCGAAATACGTTGGAGTTCAAAATCCGAAAGAAAAACCAAGAAGTTTAAAAAGTCAAAACAGAACAGAAAACTTAGAGTAAGAATTGCAGTGGCCTCCTTAAACGAAAGAATCCTCCAGTTTACCGACAAGAACTCATCAGCTCTACGGTTAACTAATTAGTTAGCGGTAATTAGTTAGCGATTTTTAATTGATTTCATAAATATGGGAAAAAACAGAAGAAATATAATGAAAAGACTCCCGTAAAGAAACGAACAAAGTATAGCTCGATCTAAAAAACAATGCACTCTCTAACACATTGAGATATGCATTGCTAAAATTTCATGACTAGAACTAGTAAGTAAGTATGGAGTACACGACACTTATTGGTTAGAAACAGTTGTGAACTTAGTTCCAAGAAGCCAATGGCAAGGTAATCCAATATTTTACATATAAATTTCGCATCACTGTGGAGATTTCGATACTTATTTTCGTTGCTCAGTTTTGTAAGCAAATTATTCAATCAAAATACACAAAATTATTTGATATGGTGACAGTTGTTGTCATGAGAGTTAACGCTCAACTTGACTTTTTCTTTTTTATACAGATTTCTGTTAAAATTCAGTGAACTGTTTGATAATTGATAAATTGAACATAAGTTTGAAGAGGTAAAGGGAAATTTTCCTCCACTAAGTCCCACCCATCAGTGCTTTTAATAGGAATTTTACGCAAAGTGGGTTTCCACAGTTTACCCCTGCATTTTCCGTGTTTTCCCTGCTAAAAACAAAGTGGAAACCCATTTTGTTCAAGCGAGACCCACTAATCATTAAAAACACTGCCACCCATATCAATGTGATTTATCCTGACACTGACGCTTAATGGAAGCAGTTTTAAGAAAAGCTTATCTTGACCGTTTCAAAGAATAAAAGGTTTTTTCACAACGACATTCGACAGATTTTACGTTCTTAAAGTTTATGATGCTAGAAGGAAAAATATGGAGTAGGATTTGAAATGACCGCCGATGACCTTTGAAAACGTTAAAAATTGCTTTGATTTACCTTCTCATAGCTAGAAAAACACTTGAAATATGTGAAATACAACGCTCTCTCTGAATCCTAAGTTTTTTCGCGGCGGAAACTAAAAGTTTTTGAAGTATCCTCATTACAAGCAAAAGTCAAAAAATTTTACAATTTGAATTTTGACTTAACGAAGACAGATTAAGCTGTAGTTTGGGTTTTATTGAATGTACAAAAAAAAGTGAACAATTTGATCAGTTTCTGTTACTTTACGTATTTTTTCACCGACTTTCCTTTGAAAAACTGAAATTTCATGAAACCGTCTTTTGAAACAGAATATTTCGTCCTCAAAAGTACTCTGCTAAGAATAAAAACACCTCATTTTATTTTGTTTTTCCGCTCTTCTGACTCAAATAGAGTCAAACCGTATGAGAAAAACGAGATCTAGATATTGAAATTGGTGCGTACAGTACAAATTTCGCCACTGAAGCTTATTCTGTGCCTTTGTCTTCCTTTTACAGGTACCGATTGAAATAAATGACGACTGAATTGAAAGACGTACTATTCCAACTCAAAAGTACGGTACTTTCATTCCATATTAAACTCTAACTACACTCACTTTACTTAAAATGCTTCGGTTGGATGTCTGTATTATAGCGGAGTAAGTAGACGCAGAAATCAAAATAACTGATAAAAGGGAAAAATTTTGTGTTCGATTCTAGTTGTCTAATATTTCAGAAACGAATCAGCTGTAAAGCGTGTTATTTACAGAGTTATTTGTAATTTGAGAACGGCTAGATGATGGCAAAGTTTCAACAAAATTTTTGATTAAATCTGACATTTTTTCTTCTACGAATGATTTACAGTAAAAATTTATTTTTGACTTTCGATGTAGCGGCGTAGCCAAGCCCGCTCACTAACAAACAGAGATAGGCGAATACGAGTATATATACTCGAGTACAAAATTCCTAGTACTCGTGACTTTTTTAACCAGTATCCCAGAAAATACTCGAGTACTTCCCAAAAAACTCGTGACCCTTTTTTTACTATTTGCGTATCAAAAAATCGATTTATTCGGATCCACCGGCTTCTTCAGAAAAAAAATACTCGAGTACTACTCGAGTGCTTTTCAGAAAATACTCGTACTCAATCTTTAGTACTCGTACTCCGAAATCCGTGTACTCGCTCATCTCTGTTAACAAATGTCAGGTCACGTTACTCTATATGTAGCAATATTATTAACCAAATATTTGCTACGCTTTTATTTTAAGTGCTCAGCGAAAATAAAGTTATTGTTTTTGTATGGGTAATATTAGAAGTAATGTCTTGAATTTTCACATATTTTTCTATTTTCGATAGCCTATGGTGTCTAGTTTCAGAACATCTACTTCTTTCGTCACAATCCAAGATTCTGGATGATTTTTAAGAAAGTTTTCAAAAACTGAATTTTCCAATTTCAGCACTTTTTTCCTTTAAAATATTAGGAAATTCATTTTAAGATAAGCTAAGCGGTTCATAAAATGTTGGGCTTCAAAATGAGACATTTAACAACTCCGTACGATCTTTTGATCAAAAGTTATAAGAATTTTAATAAAAACCTGATCCCGAAAAGATCTTTTCTCTGATCCCGTTCCGTGGGCTTAATTACGAACCCATTAAATCCTGAAAATTTTTATTTTTGTGATAATGAAACATAGTTAGTTGATTTGGGGGGTTGATTTGGTCTTGTCTCAATGATGAATGGGAACGACGTAACAGGGCCGGATTTTTAAGTTAGGTTTTACTTTTTTCTACAAACAAAGATTTTTGGAAAATCTCCAAACAATTTTTCGCGTTTTTGAAATAAAATGCGTGTAGCTCACTTCTGAATAAAAATCTCGAAAATCCGGCAGTGTTTAACAGAGTAACGTTTTTTGATAACGCAGCAGAGTCGGTTACGTTATTCCCCTTTATGATTCCTACAACATAAAACAATCCCGAGCTTTCTGCCTGCTTTCTCGAAGACGAAATCTTTGTAACGCTTTCTACTTCTTTTTGACCTCTGATGATCCTATAACTCGAATACGCTTGTGCCTAGAAACTTCAAATTTATTTCGTAAACATCTTAGCCTAAGGCCACTATTCTCTGAAAGTTTCGTGAAGATCGGATTTATTGTTATCGAAACAGCTTTTTAGGCTGGAGGGCGCCTTTACGAGTATATATAAAACACAGAAAAAGGAGTATACTATTCTTATCAACGAGAAAAAACAGTAGCGTTTTTGTTAGACAGCAGTCATGTTGTTGGTGAGGAAAACAGAGCGATGGATGAAAGTAAAAATCTAAAAATTGTCAAATCAACAGAACTAACCGACTATGATTTAGGTTTCTACGAAAAGAAAACAGACTAATACGAAAGTAAAGACAACCAGTGAGTAAGAAGGTAAATATTTTATAATTTATGCACGTAGTTAGAAAGATTCTTTAGTAATGCAGGTTTACAATCAGCGATAACAAACATCATTAGTTATGTTTAAAAGAGTAAAAATATATTAAAAATAATTAATGTTCACTTAGAAAACTCAGGAATTTTTTATATTTTTTTAGAATACATCTAAGAAAACAACGGAATGTTTTTCTACAAAAGTGCGTAAAAAATAGACAAACGCGGACACAGACAAAAAAATGTTTAGTAGATCTCTAATGACGAGAAAATCAACGATGTTTAATCAGTTTTCTCAGTCTTTCCTTTTTAGCATCTGTTCGAGGTAGCTGTTTATATCTTTTTCTGGTTTTATTCTATTGTGACGAATGAAGTAGAAAAAAAACAGTTTATTCAAATCTGTTTTAGATTAGAAATGTTTGCTCGAAGTTGCTGTCGAGTTTTAATCTATCGTAAATTTTTGCACAAGTCATTCACAAAACATCGTTGTTTATGTATTGACCAAAGTTTGGTAACCATTTCAATTGACTGAGATATTTTATATTTTTGTAACTACGTTATTCTGTTTTACTTTAGACTTATCCATTGCATATTCGTCAATTAAATTATTTACCTTATCGATCTACTTATCTCTCACAAACGACATTTATACGTAATTTATCTTTATCATCACTACTACACGCGACCGTTCCGACATCAAACATTGTACCATTTAAACTAGCTGATATTGGAGAAGGAATTAAAGAAGTCGAAATCAAAGAATGGTAATCAGAAGACAATATGTTTCCTTAGGTTTTTTTTATTAACTACATAATCATTTTAGATCATGTTTGGTTTTGTTCTTCTATTGTTTTAGGTATGTCAAAGTTGGTGATCATGTGAAACAATTTGACAAAGTGTGTGAAGTTCAAAGTGATAAGGCTAATGTAACAATCACGTGTCGGTATGATGGTCAAGTAATGAAATTATACCATCAGCTCGGTGAAACAGCAAATGTCGGTGAACCATTAGTTGACATAAAACTTACTCAAGACAGTACACAACAGATACAAGATACATGTAGGTAGAAATGTTAGTTGAGCCACCATTGCTGATTAATTTTTTCTAAAACATTACGCCGTCGCTGATCAAAAATGTTGCTCACACCAATAAACCTGCTGTTAATCTAATCCGAATAGCAATCTTCATTTACCAACTTATCATTTGATCGGGTGACGAAGAATCATTACATTTTCACTGGTTGTCCATAGAACTAAGCGTCGTAGAGTGGAAATCGATTGAAAGAATTCGAACAGACCGGAGCCGGATGACTTAACTTAAAAGACGGGCGAAAACTGATCGTTTTCTAAAAAATTTAGCATAGAGAATATCACGTTTTTTTGCTCGTTCAAGAGAAACAGTTACGTTTTTGAAAGCGTCAACATTGTCAACATCGTTCATTTGTCAACTTCAAAAATTTCTTGAAAAAGACAACGATCATAAATCGGCCGGTCCCGACGAAAATTTTAGCCGGACCGACCGTTTGATTTGATGTGACATTTTGCTCTCTGAATTGTGAAATTAAGTTTGATGTTTAGCTACTTTTTGTGAGACCACAGTCGAATGAGGAGCAAAGTTTGGGTATTCGAAGTGAAAATTATTCATTTTTTTCCAATTTTTTCGAAATTTTTAGTTCTTCTACCGCCGTCGACTCTTTCAGGCTTCTTACATGCCACTGTCGATAATTTTATTGGTTCATATCAGTACATGTAAAACAGTAGTTTATTGGGTATTTCAAATAGCTGTATGATAGCGATACAACGTGCAGACGCTTTAACATAAACGTTGCTTTTATTTTAGCTGGATCTAATCTTCAAGATGATGCCGGTGAAGAACGTTCTTCTTCAACAAAATTAACACCCACACCTCAAGTACTAGCTACACCAGCAGTTCGTAGATTAGCCAAAGATTTACAGGTAGGACATTTGATTTGTTATTCATTTTGTAGGTTATTTACTTTTCTTCGTTTACAGATTTCATTGAATGACATACAGGGTACAGGAAAAGATGGTCGAATATCAAAAGAAGATATATTAAACTTTGATAAGACAAAAGTAGTGGCGCCGTCAACAGGAGCACACACTACTATCCCAACCTGTAAGCACTATTTGGTGATTCAACAAAGAAAATTTGCAGGAGTTTAAACAAGAACTCATATATTTCTGAATCCACTATCTTCTCTCCGAAAATGAAAGTGGCTTTTTTGTAAAATAGTATTCTCATCCTTTTCGTTACTTATAATCCTATAACCTATCCAAGTATCGGTATTTTATTTTTAATTTCAGCTCCTGTTCAGATTTCAATGCCATCGATTCCTCCCTCACCTGCAACCGTCAAACAACCGATCACTAAATCGACCACACCTATTTCTACCACTGCCACTAATACAGTTGAAACGCCTCGTAAACAGGTTCAACCAATGAAAGAAGATCGTCATGAGACGATCAAAGGTATCAAAAAAATTATGGTAAAAACAATGACTCAAGCTAATTCGATCCCTCATTTTACTTACTGTGATGATTATGATCTAACTGAATTGGTGAAATTAAGAAAAAAATTGAAAAAATTATACGAACAAGAGAAAAAGACGTTAAAATTATCTTATATGCCATTTATTATCAAAGTAAATATTGCTCACACTAATTTCTCAACAATTCTATTACGTCGGTCTTATATTCCATTAGGCTTGTTCTCTCGCATTAACGGAATATCCAATATTAAATGCACACGTCGATGCTAAATGTGAAACAATTATCTATAAAGTACAAATTAAATTCTCAATTTTTTCTTCTCATTTATTTGTTCATCCCTTGTTTTTACTAGGCAACACATAATATTGGAGTTGCAATGGATACACGTGATGGTTTACTTGTTCCAAATGTAAAAAATGTTCAGACTCTATCGATTCAAGACATTGCTTCAGAATTGACGCGATTACAACAACAAGCATATAATGGCAAATTAACAAATGACGATATGCAAGGTGGAACATTTTCATTATCTAATATTGGAGCGGTATGTTCTATCTTTCACTGACAACCATTAACTCTAAAAAATTCTCATATGTAGGAAAAGTATTTTTTTCAAAACTTGTACAAGTTAAAATCTGAGAGGTGTTTTTTTAATGCATTTTTGCTATTATTTATAGAAAACAAAGTATTATGTTTCAGAACTATAACATAATACATTAAAACGATAGTTCTTCTAACTAATCATTATTTCATATAGCATAACGCAGTTACATATCCTGAAACATTATATCTGTTCAGAGGTAGAAATATTAGAATTGATAAGATAGTAACAGCGGCTGTTACTATCTTATCGTTTCATATCCTATTAGCACAATTACATTGAATTGAGGTGAAGTATTTGTGCTACTTTTTCGTGCCATAAATAATTTCGAATAATAGTATCAGGAGCAGTAGTTGTTCATATTTTATACAATTCACCACTTTTATCCAAATAGTCACTTTTCGTCTTGAAATTTCAAACAATGACAGTTTACGCTTTGAGGAATGAGTTTTTTTGGTCCGTAAGTTGTTGAAAATGTTCATACTGTTAAAGAAGTTAGAAAATATTCTGAATAATTAGTATTCTACAAGGACATGACCAGCCAACTCTGCTACAGTGACGTTTTTTCTTCATTTTGTTGCGTCGATTTATACCAAAACGAAACATGCAGAGAGTCGTGAGACGTCTTAAATTGAAGTGAAAAGTCTTGTGAACATTTTAAGACGTATCTACACTCTGGAAAATGTCTCTTTCTCAAGGTCTTAATGAAACCTTGAGTACTACGTTTCGATTTCGAAGAATTTGAATTTTTAAAAAGTAGTACTCAGTTTTATTCCAAACTTTAGAAAGAGACATTTTGTTCTTATCTTCAACTTTATGAACTGTTGTTTCTGCTATATTGAAAAGATTTTTATATTGGAATCAGCTTTAATTTAAACGATTGATCACTATGATGACTTCAATGACTATATCCTTTTGAAAATATCGCAAATAATAAAGATATATTTTTATTTTTTAATACCCACAACTCATCTAACCTTTCTATCTAAAACATAATTAAATGAAACGATGATACAAGATATCCAATACCTCGTAGAAATAATTTAATTTAAAATTTATAAATACATTATATTCGAGACTGCATTCGGTATGAATCAACAAAAACAATGAAAATGATACTATAATAGAGTAGAATGATGAAAAAAAATTCTGCTTCTCATAAAATTTTCCTGCCAGCAGCTGTTTGTGTTATATGGGAAGATTCTGTATTTTGTATTATTTTTATGAAATGTATTTTCAATGTTTCTATATTATATAGATCGGTGGTACATATGCCGTTCCAGTTTTAGTCGTGCCAGAAGTAGCTATTGGAGCACTAGGAAAAATAAGTGTAAGTTACTCATTTCTAATGTTCATTTCTCGCTCTATGCATCATTACTTATTTTGCCTATTTTTAGTTGAAAGCATGTGCTCCAGAAAATTTAGATGATTCATCTTCGTCTAGTGATGATGATGAATATTATCCCAATGTTCGATTTCGTCATATGATGTCAATAAGTTGGTCAGCTGATCATCGTGTTATTGATGGTGCAACAATGGCAAGATTTTCAAATAAATTAAAGTCCTATTTAGAGAATCCAATATCAATGATGATTAATACAAAATAGTGTAACACTGAAAAAACTTATCATTATCTGATATTCCACTTTTTTGCGTGTGTGTGTGAGAGAATGATTTTATTATTATCGTTGTTTGTTACACTGTATTGTTGCATACATTTGTTTTTTTCTAGTGTAGTGATCTTGAATATAAGAACAGTGACTCTTTGTTACGTTTATACTTTTTGCTCTCTCTTACTTTTATTTAGTGCTAAGAATTATATTTCTATTCATATTTTTCTTATTAACTTTTATATAAAGATTGATTTGAAAAGATCGGTAACAATTTAGAAATGACTAATACATGTTATTAATCAATAGGATTCGCAGTTTTTGAGGGAAAAGTTATCTAAACCAAGAATGAGATTTCCAGATCAAAAGTACAGATGAATTGCTCCTCTGAATATATGAAAATGGCTTTCAAAGGATCTTGGAAAGAAAGAGAAGGTTATTGAAAAAAAGTTCTATTCTACGAGCTTAACAGAGGTATTCACAGATCAAGCATTTTAGTTTTTTCATGAACTAAACAGTGCCAAATTCAAAAAACATATAGAAAGATGTGCCTTACAATTTTATATGTTACCCTGTAGAGTAGAGATCTGCACGGGCAAGATTTTTTTGCCCGTGTCCGTTCATGGCCGCGGCCAGTACGGGCACGCCCGCGACCACGAGAATTCCCGTGCCCGTGCAGATCTCTACTGTAGAGTCAAACGGAACAAGCTTTAACAATTAACGATATTGTTTGTCATTTATCTAAACAAGAAACAACTAGCAACTACAGCATCGGACAACCTGTCAGCGGATGACTGACTACATATCGAGTCAAAACAGATTTGGCTGGTGTTTTTTCTGCAGACGAGTTGAAGAAAAATCTTTTTTGTAAGTTACTTATAATTATAAGATCATGACTAATATAAAATATCTCTGCGCAGGTCTGCTCCGTCGCCGAGATAGGAGACATTGTTTCCTAAAATTGACTCTTATTTATTGCTCCGAAGGCAAGATTGGTGAAACTGATCACTTAGGAAGCTGTAACTTTATACTTAAATTCTCTGGCAGCTGTAATTTTATAAAAACGTCTTCCATGAATGGAGAGCGCGTGCAAATTTTGGACTTTTTCTACTTTTAACCGTGTCGGATTTTCGATTTTTCACGATTTCTACCAATGAAAACTAAGCTCATACCTGGCAACATGTCTCTATACTGTACTCGAGCTACTTATGATTATTTTATTCATAAAGGTATGGTTATAAGTAGCCGGCAGAAAAAGTAGTAACTTATGGTTATTTTATAAACAATGTCTCCAATCTCAGTACCAGAGCAGACCTGAGCAGAGATATTTTATATTAGTCATGATCTTATAATTATAAATAACTTGCAAAAAAGATTTTTCTTCAACTCGTCTGTAAAAAGAACGCCAGTCAAATCTGTTTCAACTCCATATGATCATCTATTAATTGATATTTAAAACTGAAGTTCTAAACACGGCAGAATTTTCCTAAAATTGACATTAGTCACTTTTGAAACAAAAATTAATGATCATCAACAAGAAAAAAAAATGTTAAATGTAATTATTTTAGTTTGTTTTATTTATCAACAATAGAGAATAAAGTGTGATGAACATGCGAAGTATCAGACAATTAAGAATATCATCATTAACGAGATCAAAATACCAAAAATTATATACGTTTTATCACACATATGTATTTCTGTCGATATACACAATTTCTAAGCTAAATGTCGTGCTATTTTGTACTTTGTACATTTTTTAAATACGATTAATTCACATTTTTTTTCATGAAATTATTTTCATCATTTAAAACAAACACATGTTTATCCTTTCTACTATCGTCTATTCAATTGCTCTTGCTTCTTTAACATCGATTGCGAAATCTTGGAAAGTCGTGAACTATGGTGATTGAATCTTCATAATTCATTTGTACCAACAACACAATCGAATGTAAATGTCATACAAGTCGTGTTTCTTTATGATTCAGTCGCACAACGTTTGAAATGAAGAAGAAAACAAAGTGTTCAAAGATATTTGTTCAACATATTTGAAAAATGTCACCAAATACACGAATATTATTGTTAGAACGTGCCATGAAACAATGTTTAATGGATTAGTGATGTAGTTTCAGGAATAAATAAAAGAATATCAATGGTTGATGACAATTATTTAATACGTTTTCTGGATATGATATCAGCGTTTCAAAATTCATTCCTTCAAGAATTATATGATCCATATCATGTACACTTGGTTGTTCCTGGTTATCCAAATGGTATGAAATTATCAAAACTCTCTTCTACAATGATATGCTCAATTATTAGACGATTTACTGTCTTGTTTAGAATCAACTGAAGAACATCGTACATATTGTTATGCTATTAATTTACAAACTCATAAAAAAGAAAAAATAGAGACAAATAAGCAAAACTATTTTTTATTCTAATTATTGTTGAAGAAAACGAGTATTAAAAACAAAATATTTCATGTACACAAATTTTATATAATAACATCCTCTGTTTTAAAAAATGAGTACAGAATTACGAAAGTCTGATCGAGCAGTAGTCTAATCTAGTTAGTAGCACTTCATAAAGCATCTTGTATCTAGCAAGCGATCAATTTTTCCGAGAAATATACATACGATTCTTTAAGAATGAGTATATTTTCTAAGAGTGCGTCAGATCCGATCGAGTCAAAATTTTTCGGTTCGTGCGAACTTCTGATAACAATATTAGATGGAAACTTTTGTGTTTTATTACAAATAAATTAGATAATGGTTTTACGACAAATTTAATGATAATCACATTAGACAGGTGTATATTTCAAACCAATTTTACGTACGATACGCATGCACGGACTCCATGAAATCGTCTGACTATACAATTTTATCCACTCCAAAAATAATAAAATACTACTCGTTCTACATATTCTTTGTCGTTCGAATAGACAAAATGAACAAAGTTAGTATTGTATGATCTACACCGGAAAAAGGTACGATATGGAACTTAAAAAGTGTTTCGAGAACTGAAACGATTTCTAAACCCTTTTAAAGATTTCATAGGAAATCTACCAAACCATAAAAAAGTTTCCTAGATCCTTGATAAATCTTTTTAAGGGTTTCGTACATTCCTACGAAACCTAAAAAGTGTTTTGAAATCGTTTCAGTTCTCGAAACCTCTTTTTTTTCAGTGTAGTTAAGATGTATATTGTTTAATATTACTATTACATGTCCTTTGTGAAGATAAAGTTTTAAGAATTTTTTGCATGACTCAAACACAACGTTCTATCCACAACTTTATAGAAAAGTATGATGAATAATAATAAATTTATCTTTAAAAATTTTATCATTCTTAACGATCATTTTTGCATAAGAAGTGGAATTCAAAACCGAAAATCGTCTCATTCTCAATTTAAATAAAAATTAATTATAATGCAAGAATTTTAATTAACTTTAAGAAATGTTTATTAAGGAAAACAATGATATATACATAGAACTGTATAAAAAAAAGAAAAGAAGGCATACTGTTTACTAATAATGATACATTAGATAGTATTCGACTGCTGTTGAAAATGTAGCAAAAAAAAGTGCTCCAAGGACGCCCGCCTGTAGACCAGCTACAAAAAAGAAAATAATGTAAACATGCGCACTATTTAATGAGATATAATATAATCTTACCGCGAAATCCTAAAAGTCCACCAGTAACAAAACCGGCGTATGTTCCATTTTTAATATCAGCTTTTGCACGATACTATAGAAGAAATTATGAGAATAATATTAGAGTAACATTTTTTACAAATTGTATGAATAAAGTATCTTACTGTTTCAATGTTACACTCAATTGTACTAAATACCAGTCCAACAATGGCAAAATTTTTTGCATAACCAATTGAACGAGCCTTCATTTCTCGCCAAACATCTTTCAACGTTGGTATCTCACCTGGACGTGATGTTTGAATTGTTGACATTGGATCTATCGAAGCTGTAAACACACCCAAACCAACACCAATCACACATCCTAAACAGTGAAACTTGTTTATCAGATTATACACACATTTCTATTACACAATGTCATACCTCCCACGCAACTAATCCCTGCTTTAAACACACAACTTTCCATAAAATTTCTTACTCTCAATTCTTCTTTTGGCACTGCCGATGGTAGTGGACCATTGTTTGGTCCAGATAATGGCCATTTTCGTTTTGATCCCATTAGACGATCAATGAGAGAATATATTTGTCGATCACCAGTAGTTAATACGTTTGACATCATTTGACTTTGTGTCTTATTTATGAGTTGCTCTTGTTCTTTATGATATTGAATTGGACGTAGAACAGATGGATCAAGTAACATGTTTTTGTTTAAACTACAAAAGAGAAGACAATACTAAAGATCAGAAAGACAAGGGCTAAACGACGTTCGTTTGTTTTTTATGTACACTTCTTTCTTTTTACAATAACTTTTATTCTGTTAAAACAACAATCAAAAACTTACAACAAAAAAATATATTTATGACTTTGTCACAATATTCACTAAAATATGTTTATCAGAAAATATATTTGGAGAAAAATAAATGATCATCTAACGAGGAAACCGCCCCAGGTGCCCAACTCCGATTTCCTTCATTCATATCTCGTTTTATAGAGCACATCGAGCTGGTAAAAAATCTAAAAGGATTTTTGCCCATGGCTCTTGAAGTCTCGGTTTTCTGCAAAATCAGTTTTTGAGAAATTCTAAAAAATAATCAAAACCTTTCATAGTGAGGGATAATTACAGCCTGCACATTTCTGAAGAAATTAATTTAGGACTTTTCTTATAAATTCTATAACTTTGCAAAGAAAGGTCATGTAGAGCTGGAAGACGTCTCATTTTAATCACAAAATGTGCGGCCTACAATTATGCCTCATTATGAAAGGTTTTGATTATTTTTTAGAATTTCTCAAAAACTGATTTTGCAGAAAACCGAGACTTCAAGAGCCATGGGCAAAAATCCTTTTAGCTCGATGTGCTCTATAAAACGAGATATGAATGAAGGAAATCGGAGTTGGGCACCTGGGGCGGTTCCCTCGTACGGCAAAAGAATCGAAGTAAACTATAGACCTCGTTGGACTACAATTCTCGTTCTTACAAAAAACACCATCGTCCTTTCTTCTCACATACATTTATGATGTAATTATAGACATAATTTTTCATGATTTAATTGACGCATTTCAATATTAAAATAAACTCAGTTTGTATGTTGAATTTCACAAACAGAAGGAAAACATGTCACTGTAACTTTAAAAATTCAAAAATATCTATGACAAAAATGCGATATGATTTCTCTCAAATCTTCATAAAAAATGTTTGACTAGATAAACCAAGAACAAAAGACAATAAAAATAAAGAATATTTAAACAAAAATGAGTAGATATATACATAAAGGAAAGGTGACTATAAGGCAAATAATGACTAGAACATTCGATAATTAATAAACAAAACAAAACAACACAACGAGATTCAACAATTATGTCACTGTTTAATGGTAACAATCACCGAAAAACTTCTAAATAAGATTTGGTTTTTGCGTAATCGTTGGTCGTACACGGCCAAATTGCTGTGGACGATTCAAATCATTTAAATCAAAAGATTGATCTTTGTCCGTTGGCGAACGAACAGAATCTAAATATAAAAACACGCTGGTACAATTGTTATCAACTCAATAGTTTATGTACTGTATAGTTCATACAACAACATACTGATAATATGATAAAAATCTCAAATATATTCATCAGTGAACAGTAATAAATAAATGTGTTAATATATGCTTACCCATGCTAACACTTGATAATGAACTCGACAAATTAACATTAATTGCTGAATGTAGACCACCGGTAATAGGAAATGTTTGTGATGAATGTGAATTGAGTTGTGAAGTCAAATCAGATTCATCAGCTGGTAAACATGTTTCAACCATTGCCTCTAGACAATTGACAAATAATTCAACATTGTCGGGATTTTGTCTTGATACCATAAATGGGCCAGCAAAACGCCATAGACCACCAAAACCACACGATTGTAAATAGGAGAGTTGTTGCTGTTGTGTTGATGAATCATCACCGCATGTTGCAATTTGATTTTGAATAATCGATTGAACCGAATTCAAAATTGATTCATCATGTGAGAGGGAAAGAACTGAATTGATTTTGGAATCGAGTAAATTGTTGATGACTGGAAATACACGGGGAAATACGACGGATGCTTCGGACAAATATTCGTATAGTATACGCATTTCATTTTCATCAGATGTATTACGAACAAGGGTTGCCTACAAGAAGTATCTAATGTTAAAAAAATCGCTAAAATAAGAATAATGTATGTGAGAACGTACCAGCATGGTTAAGAGGAGTGCTTGTGTAGATGTATCGGTGAGAGCTTCTGGATCCAATAAAACATTATTTTCATTAATCGAATTTCTTTCTGATCGATCACGACCTTGAGGTATTGGATCAAGCGTTTGTTGTCCACTTGGAATAACCGATATCGCTGGAATATTTCCTTGAACTAAACGTTTCGGTTGCTGTAATAAGGGTAACATTTGAACAGTCGGTTTCAATAAAATACGAGGTACTAAAGAACAAAATCATTGATCAACTTTGACGATCAAAGGTATCATCTTCTTTCAACACTTACCAGCATGCTCAAGATCAAAACTATTCCAATGTCTAACATATGGATTTTGTATAAATAATAAACGTGTATTTTTTGCTCGTTGCTGTTGACCAATTCCACGTTGATCAGCATTCATTTCCCAACTCTTCTGACGACGTGGTCCATTTGTTGTCGATGTTGCGATCACCGATTGACCTTGTTGATGGCCGCCAGTAAATGCTGCCTGAACATTGACAAAATCAGCTATTGATGTGGTACTTTGAGATTGAGGCAACACATTTCGATGTTTTAAATGACATCGTGTACGAACTTCTTCCGATACGCTGATAAGAGCAGCTAAATACGGTGCTGATGTGGGTGTCACTTGGAATTTATCACGTTGATCACATTTGGCAACAATGCCCAAGAGTGTGTTTAGCACACGATTTGTACGAACAACAGTGTTTTGAACAGGATGACGAAAACCTAGAAAAGTGATATAATTAACTCAAAGCAAATTAACGGTTAAAAACGGTTATCAAATCGTGTATAAAAACTGTATTACACTCTCTTCATATATGTAAAATAATTCAATATAAAATAGTTTCTGTACTTTACTACATCGAGGGGGAAAAACAGATGTTTTATTCGTTATAATCATGTTCAAAACTGATATAACAGATCAACAGTGTATGACATTAAATCCTTTTCGAATAAAGTTTTATCAGTATCTCCGATAGTATGAGAATCTCATCACTCGTAGACAACTATCTATTCTTATACGAATTAAGCACTTCGACAAAAAATACTTTTATTATTGGTAATATTCAAAAATAACTGAGACAATAATAAGAAATCTTACCTTTAATTAAATGTCCAACTAATGCAAAATTAAAATTTGATTTAAATGATAATCCCATACTAGCATCTAATTGTTTAAATTGCCATTCTAAGGGTTCTCGTGCATCCATCATTATCTTTTCTAATGTTCCCTTTTCAAAGATTGACGTGCCCATATGATCGAGTGTATGTAAATTTTGTTCCAATAACGCTAAACCACTTGCATATAGTTGTGTTTCTTCCAATTGTAAAATCGATACCGCAATCCAAAACATAAATTTATGAATTAGTGATTCTTGTGAAAGTAACGGTAAAAGACGAGTAAGACACATAATGATCGAATCAATCAAATCAATATCGACAAACGATTCTAATGCTTTGACTAAAATACGTAACAATTGTTTTATATCTGCATCCGACGTCTGTTTTGATATACAACCATAGACGATACTAAAAGAAAAATAAATTTTAGCATCAGGAGATGTAAACAGTATAAGTCGTATTTTTTTGAAATACAATCACATATTATTTACATGGCTCTTGGTTGTAGAGCGGGATTAAATTGAAATGCAAATCTCTTGGCTAATTCTTGCCATTGTGCTAACCATTCACATTGTGTAATATCAACCATACACGCTTCCATTAATTCGAGAAGAGTATCGGTAATCGTTTCTAATGACAATAATGACATTCGTTCTTGTTCACATGGTGAATAGGCAATCATTGCTGGCATTGTTCGTTCTTGATGTTGTTGTAATAGAGAACCAGTTGAAGCATGTTGTTGTCGTACAATACCCGTTCGAAATGCTGTGACACTAGCTGATTTTACTTTTGACAAACCGAATAGACAGTAGAATTTTGGTAGAGAAAACTCGGCTAATGATAAACGAAGAACACGTTGTGTTTCATCGCTGAATGTTGGTTGCGAACAAGTACACAATGAATGAATAATGTTGATAACAAGACCGTGTGTCGAGGCTCGTAGTGTTAGAGGACCAGTTGAAACAAGTAGAGTGACAATGTGAAATAAAAAGGGCAGGTGAGAAGCGACATCCAGTGAGTTATTGAATGACAACATTAATAAATAACGAAGTAAAATAGCAATATCATCCCATATTAAATGCTGTTCCAATGTCGGTGTTGGAGACATGCACGTCTTCTCAATTAAACGACATAGACGACCTAAAAACAGAAATTAACAGTTGAAATTAGAATGTGACTATAGAAAATACACTACGTACCAATAACTTTTCTTGAAAATAGGAGACTATTTGAACTGGCTAATGCCACCGCTGTATCAGCCAGAATTTCAGCTTGTAATGAACCCAATCCACCCAACACACTTCGTTTGATGAAACAATCTAACACAATATCGAGTAAATCTGATACTTGACCAATATTCGACCAAATCTTTGCTTGAATCGATGGATACATTTCATCTTCTTCGATTGTCAATGTGATCAATTTATCGAGAATTTGTGCTACTTTTTGTCGTTTATTATCATCGTTCTGTTTACAAAATCGTGTTAAATTTGGTAACCATTTTGTCATGTATTCCAAACACAAATGTTTAAGTTCAATAGTTGAATTTCGAAAACCTTCAATACATTCTTCAAGAAATTCCAGCGTTAAATGAGGCTCTTTTTGAGCAAGTTTTTCTGAGATACATTTAATAAATATAGTATTATTTGATGGTATACATAGACCACTCGACTCTAATAATTGACCTTCGATTCTCAGATCAAATGTTTGAGTTAATGCACATAACAAATTGTAAGCAGCTGAACGTAATGATGGATCAAGACTTCCCAAATTCAATAAAGCAATATTTAACAGTGTACCGGGTACGTCTTTCGGACGAATTTTATTATGGATCTGGATATTCTCAGGCTGAGCTAACTCCCATCCTAAATATAAAGCAAAAAGAACCTACAATTATATTGATATCGTAAACAATGTGTTCATTGAGAAAGTATTCATTTATTTAAAGTTAATCTTACTACACGGCGTGGCCAGCTAACTCTGCTACCGTAAAGGAATTCCATAACATTTTTGTAAATCGTAGACGAAACGATGCAGACAGCTGTGATACGTCTTAAATTGAAGAAAAAGCTGCAATGAACATTTTAAAACGCGTCTCAGCTCTGTAACATATCTCGTTTTAAAGATCTGATAGAAATATTGGCAACTATTTTTCGCACATTATAACTTTGCAGAATCGAAGTAGTTGCCAATATTTCTATCAGATCTTTAAAACGAGATATGTTACAGAGCTGAGACGCGTTTTAAAATATTCATTGCAGCTTTTTCTTCAATTTAAGACGTGTCATAGCTGTCTGCATCGTTTCGTCTACGATTTATAAACAAAACAAAATGATAAAAAAATGTTATCGAATTTCTTTACGGTAACAGAGCTAGCTAGCCATGTCGTACATCTAAAATGCCTTCTTCCTAACCTCAGTATACCTTTCTACTATATAACAAGGAGAAACTGAGATGAATATTCATAACCAAGGTGTAACAAAAGAGAGAATTAATTGTGCATTTAATATAACATGAAAATATTTATTCGCTTTTAATTCCACAACGATATCATTTACATTGAAAGAAAAGATATTTCTTCTTTTTGTGATCGACAAAGGATCTCAAAGAACTGTATACATTAAGATAATGTTTCAATCTTCAAAAATTCTATGCAATGACCAATTTTTTCTTGATAGAATATTCTTCATAGTTAATAGGTAAAACTATTATGTGAGATAGAGTATGAATTTATTAATAAACTTTAACCTCTTCTATTGGAAAAGTCAAACAATGTTATTTATTTCTTACGTATGTATGAAATAACTTTTTTGTTGAAATATTGCACTATTTCAACTTTGGCTTGTTGATAGCACCATACTGTACTCAATTTTACTTTCCAATAAAGAATAGAAAATAATTGAATTTACTTACGTGTTCTTATATGAATAATTGCTTGTACAATATTGTCACAATCGTTATGAATAAATGACAGTGGTCCTGTTTCATTGGCAATAGTTAGCGTAAATTGATTGTCATCAACAAGACAAACTTCTTCGATTTCTGATGCATAATAAACATCATTTAATAGTACACTATGACCAAGAACTTTTGTTTTTTCCGATGATGTCACTTGAATAGCTTGTGGACCAACTTTAATAGCCACTTTTGTATCTTTATGTGATAGTTTTAAAGCATTATTAAATACCTTAGACAAAAAAAATACTATTAATATCAGAGAAAAAATATTCATAAAAAAATTGAATATCATTAAAATCATTTGTCTCGATAGTATTGGAACTTCACTTACTTTCAAATCTTCTTCTAACGAGAGCGTATGACCAGGTAATTTTTGTTGATCTTGTTCAATAAATTCGTTTAATTTCGTAATATGATCAATAAATACTAATTTTCGACTCCCTTTCAACGATGATAATAGACGATCATGATATTTTGTATATTCTCTTACCCACGAATTACAATTATAAATGTAACATTGTTGTAAATGATGATAAAAACATTCGGGCATACACACAAACCATTTTGAAAGATAATCCGTTTTAAATCGATTATCTGTACACGTATGAGTAAAATCGATAACAAGTTCAAATGGTTTATTTTGAAATGGTTTCAATGTTAACAATACATGATAAATGAGTAAATCACAATTCATTTCATTTACTTTAAATCGACGAGCAATATAGTAAAATACTGGATAATCATTTTGTTTTGAAAAACCAGCTTGATAGAATATGTTTAAGGCTTTTAGACTCTTAAATTCTTCACGTTCGTGCATTTGTGTTTTTTGCATCATTTCTTCGAATTTTGTCGATGTCATATCGTACGAGATCCATTGTGAATCGAGTGGACGATGATCTGGTGGACCCAGATAGGCGAGTAATGTAGCCATTTTATCAAATGGACGACGACCGATAGCTTTGTGATCACGACCAGACGAAAGATAATCACCAATTTTTTCTTGATGATACCATAATAGACGGTGCAAAGCTAGAGAAAGACAATATCGTTAAGCTACGTTAAAAAAGATTCATCTAACCTACCTAATACATTTGCATCACTAATATATGACATTGTATAATTATTCATGGAATTGTCTGTTCCTTGATCAGGTTCCGACGATATGTCCATAACAAACTGCATTGCTGTATCAAATGTCGACTTTAGAAAATCATTAAAACATCGCATATGAAATTCTTTAGTAAAATTTAAATTATTGGCAATATTCTGCAAGATTTTTGAAATTAATGTTAGACCACGTTTGACTCTTGGCAGTGGTTCAATTTCTGTAATACCAAATTCATGTGGAAGAACGAGAGCAGGATTAATAAAGCGCAAAAAGATGACTGTACTAACAGCTTGTAATGGTTGTTGAGGAAATCGTTGACTAACCACTTGATAGAGACAATAGCAGAGTATTCTTAATTGGGAGGGAAACATTTTTGTCGATGATATGATGGCTTGAAATACATCTTGTGTAAGTAGTCTGAGATTTTTTCGATTTTCTTCAACATTTTCTTGTGATTCAATGCGTGATGGATCAACTTCGTACGAGCGAGATTGTGATGATTCGGCCATATTCATCTTTTGTAATATGGGTGCGAAAAGATTGTACAAATAGTGTGATCCATAAAGTTTAAAGCAGAATGACATGATCTTAGTTGGAAGACCATTTCCTCTCAAAATTGTTTGATAACAATCGGCTACTTCCACCTCTTTTGAGAACATGTTGAATAATAGTTGATTTAGTAAATGTTTGGCATCAAAAACGGTCACGAATACGCGAGATAATTCGTCCTAGAAGATAATAAATATAACCGAATGATTACTGTTTCTCTCTAAATTCATACTGGAGAAGAATTATTAATAAAACACAAGTCTTACCATATATTGTACAGAAACGACACTTGCTAACGCCATTGCGATAGGCAGTTCGCCTTTATCTCCAATCATTGTCACAAGTTCCACTAAACGTTCAAATCGATCTGCTAACACAGTTTCGGCTAATGTATCAAATTCTGTTCCTTGTTGTAATATTTGTGTGAGAACTTCCATAAAGGCAGCACGAGTCAATGGATCACGATGATAACCCAAAGCTACAATAGAGAATAAAAACATTTTGTAATCGTTTTAGAACTTTTGATCATCACAGTCACAACTGCACACTTACCGATACTTCTCATGAGTCCACTCTCAATATTTGCATTCAACAGATTTGACATAGCCACAATGGTACTATTTCTTAGTGATTGTGTTTTTGATTGTTGCTGAGATTTTACCAGTTGTTGTGTGTTAAATGCTCGCCCTGGACCCATCAGTGGGCTAAATGCTGCTTGACTTATCACACTCATCAGTGAACTCGTCTGCAGTTGCTGTTGTTGTCCTGCACCACCAGATGTAGCCAAATCTTGATCACTTCCTTCATCGTTTAAATCATCCGAGCAATCATTTAACAAATTCATAAACAACGTGAAATATTTCAAAAATAATTGCGATTTCGCTTCCATCAAATCACCTCTATCTGATTCTTCTGGTTGCAATGGAAGACCAACGAGAAGTGATGCAACAGCTTCCATTGATGCTTGATCGAGTTCTCTCGTTAAATGTTGATATTGATCACCAAATTGAACATTAAATTGATGTGAATTGCCCATTATCCAATCGGTCAGATATTCGACCAATTTATTTCGAAATTTAATTTCTTGACGAAATGATAAATCATCACGGCGTTTCATCAATGATTCAACGAGTTGACAGACACGTGAACGAATTTGAATTGTGGCTACCGATGTATCCAAATGACGAGAATAACGAACAATATTTAACATTAATTGTTCTATACTAACAGTTGATAAAGAATTATCCGTACTGCCCGATTCAACTTTCATTTCGAAGACGCTGCGCATAATAACAATAACATTATCGATAAATTGAGTATTTTGTTCAGAGGAGATAACCTAAAACGAAATTAAACGATATTTATTTAGAAATGTTTAAATTTTTTAAAATGATAATTAACATACCTGTCCACTCGCATCAAAGAACTTGTCTACAGTGATTTTAATTTGATCAAATAGTATCGGATAACAGAGAGGATTCAATTCATGACCGAGTAAATCTTGAATATGACGCTGAATTTGAACACCGAATCGTTCATTCATACAAACCAAATATTTTAAACAATCACCAATGAATCTAAAGGAGAGTTAACTATTAGACTATGTTCTTAGAGAAGAGTAAAATCTAGCATTTACTGTGTAACTGGACAATAATGTAAATCAGAGCTAACAGGTTCCATGGACGTACGACGACTGTCAGCTGGTATACCATGTTGACTAAAATCGAAACATATTTATCTTATATCTGGAAGGATCAAAAGAAGATACCATAACCGATTTCAACCTTTCTCAAGGATCTCATCAGGTGGTTTCCTTTCAGAAAGACACAACCAGCAACACAACTTTGTCTCCACCATTCTTTGCAGAATGATAACTTTCGCACGATGAGAACGGAGCACAATATCGATGGTTGCTACACATATTCTGCTCCTCGTCAATAAAGTATACCTTTTTCATTCTGTCAGAAACGATCCATCCTTTAACATAAACTGTATCTAGTCACATTCGCTCAACAAGCATTGAGACAATTATGAAAAGCCCCATACTTATTTAGTGACTAAAAAGCGGTTGCAAAATTAAGTTAAAATTGTATCAAGCCAAGTTTCGTATTCATATATATAAATATATATCATAGTCACCACAATTATATCCAAAACCTCTATGAGATAGACGCTCATATACTTACCCTGGTCTATTTTTAGCTGGCAACCATACACTTCCAAGTGCACATAGAAAACCGGTCATATTCGCCCATTCATGAAATATATCCTTAATACAAAAATGACGGAATTGTAATTCAAGAGAAAGAAATTGTAAGCAACTCACTTCCACTTCATGTTCGGTACTATGTACACCTGCTCTTCGTTTTCCGAACTTATATCCACCACTTTCACTACTACCACTTGTTGCTCCCGTTAAATCTTCCACTCGTTTCGGATATACATTGAGAAATTTTGTGACATTTTGTTGTGACACATACGTATCGTACCATGCTTGTTTATTTCCTTGGGTAGCATGTTCAATTTTTCTTAATAATGACAAAATTCTCTTTTGAAGTGCATTTCTTCCCGATGTGACTGTATTTGATGCATGTGACAGTTCCATGTATATGTTATAATTTGGTAATAGTTGAAGTACAGCCATTTCATCAAAACCAAAACGAATTTCTGCTTCTTCACAAAATAATGAAAAACAAGACATAGCTGTTTTTATCGCATCAATATCCACAGACCAGAGATAAATGAAAAATACAATCTAAAAAAAATAAAATTGTATTAACCTAAAGGATAACTAATTATTTTGTTCAATTTACTTCTAGTTTCATATGTGCATGTTTAGCCATGGGTATATTTGAACCTAAATAAGCATTATCTTTATGATGTAACAAAAACGTATTTCTTAACACTAAAATTTCTCGTAACCATTTAAGAACCGATGGATAATTGTAGATTTGATGTAAAACTAATTTTTGTGAAATAGAGAAGAGTACTTGTGATGATATTGACCAAAATGTGTTAATACATGCTTCAGGATTCCACAATTCAATATTTTCTTTTTCATGTAAAACGAGCAATGATTCCATGGCCGTATGTGCAACATCTGGCATCGATGAATCATGAACAAGTGATACGAGACCATTAATCAATTCAAATGTGGACATTTGTGTTTCATGATCGAGTTTATTTGGATTATGTAACATTAAATAAGGATCAACAATAATTAAACGAACAATCCAAAGTAATAATTCACGATTATTCGGTCCATCAGTTTCCGATTGACGATCACGATCTTTATCTCTATCAGATTTAACTAATTTAAAATTTGTGTATTGTGAACGAAGTTGTTGAGTTGAGAAAAAGATATCTTTTAATGTTGATACACCCGAGATACCTGATATACCTAGAGACAAAAATTAAAACATATAAATGATATTCATTTTTATAACAGATTTTTGTTTTCTAAAAAGAAATGATATAGGAAAATACAATACTTACGTATTGGTGTTGTTGAAAATGTTGACGATTGACTAACTTTATTTAACGTATCGGTAAACATATTTCTTAGTTCTCCTGCTTTAGAATAGACAATATCAATTTGTGGCCACCATAATAATCGCCGTTGTGTAATGATTCGATAAAGTGCTTTGACAAGAACATAATGAAACATTGATGGACTTTGTAAGTTTAAACACACTTTTAACACTTCATTATTATGTGGATTTAAACGAATACAAGCAAGAAAAAATTCAATCATCAATTCTAAATCTTGATTTATTTTGTCTGGTCCTCGTGAAAATGGACGTTGTGGATTGAATAATATTGACTGTAAAAAAAAACAAAATTGATAGAGATACACAATCTACTCAACTTTTCTAGTGTTTATTCTATTTACTTTTAAATCTCCGATAACGGATTGTACTGAAACGAATAGAACATTGTTACTATCTTTATTATTAATGTAAGTTGATGCTTTGCATAATTTAACAAATGTGATCACGGCTGCTGCTTCACTATGCTGTTTAACATTGGAGTGAAGTTGTCGTTTAAGATTATCGATAAAATTACGCTAAAATAGCGAAAAACGCATTATTATTACTCCAAAATAGCGTTGCTCTTTTTCTCTAACCTTTCTTAAATGTTCTTGTGAACATGGACCTCCTTTTTCAATAGAGTAAACTAATTCTTCCAATATGATGGGACACAAAACTAAGAGCATCATTTGTAAAGGCCATATATATTGAACTTTACGTTTATTATTTTCTTGAAATATATCTAATAATTCAAACAATTTTTCACAATTATCTAAATACGAAAAGATAATTTTATGTACAAAACACACAAGAAAAACAAAATTTTCAAATACATACCACTTAATTCTGCATTGGGACGCTTTTGTAAATCTGTAAACTCTTCGGGATATGTGTCTAACCAATTCCATATAGCCTTCAAAGACAATTCACTATTCATAACTGAAAACTTAATTCATTTTTGTCATCTTACCTTTTCCACACTTTTAACAAGTTCAATATGATGTATTTTCTTTAATAATCTCCATTTTTGTACTTCCTCTATAAAAATAAAATTGAATTATAGTGCAATAATTGTTCCTTTTTTTTTCTTCAAAACAAACCATTTAAAAGTCTTGTTAGTTTGCTCATATCAACATTCATATGTTGAATTAAATCCAAATCGCCAGCTTCACATGTTTCGTCACCGGATGCAATTAAACATTCCAAACTAGGAAAAAACAAAATAATAAACGATAAAACAAAAGTAAATCTATAAATAAAGCCGTGATTTGAGCAGTAGTGTTAATGAGAGCAAATAGCTGAATTGTCAAAATACTGTTAGTATTTAGCTTTTATTTTAGCAAAAATAGCACAACTAGTAAAACCAACAAGTATTTTTTTTACCCGTTTTAAAGCACTAAAGAATAGAGAATTCGATAAAGAATACAAATAAATTTAAAAAACTAATTTTTTCTAATACGGTATTTCCTCATCTATCTTTTTCTCATACCTGATATCAATCAGAGTTCTTCGTTTGGTATACAGAAATAGAATAATACTTACCGTGAAACAACTTTTGAAAATAATGTACTAAAATTGTTGACACTTAATGCAAATAAAACATGAGATGCTAATTGTCGAACATGTTGCACCGTTACACCATCGCCAGGCACATTTAATAACTACGAATAGATAGAAATAATTAGTTGTACAGTATCTTTATAAATATTAATCTTACTTTGCAAACAACAGGCAATAGTTTATTAACATAAATTGCTTCATCCAAACGACTTGTGCCCATATTGTTTGTCTAAAAGAAGATATCAGTGATATTATCCGATTAGATGACCAGATTTCCATCTCACATTGACTAGACATTGTTCAACAGCATCCAAAACAATAAAATATGATTCATAAATATTCTTTTCTTGATCAAGTCCACCAAAACGCTATGAGAGAAAAAAGAGAGACGATAGTTATTTGATAAATTTTCGAAATATTTGGCTGAACATGTACCGTTGAATCAATTGTTTTTAAAATGTCTGTTAACCCATTAATAACCAGTGAGAATTTATATCGACTCAATGAAATGAGACAATCTTTATTTTGTTCCAAATTTAGACGCATACATGGCGTCAATTCGCCACATTTGATAGGCAACTTAAATAAACACAAACAAACGTTAGAGAAGATTCTATTTTTACTAATGTTAAAGTGACGTACCTGATCTTCAAATCGTGTTATTAAAGAAATAACCCATTCGACAGGTTTCGATGTCGACATATTACGTAACAATTGAAACCAACGAACAAATATCTAGAATTCGAAGAAATGTTACAAAATAAGAAAACAAAGCTCAAGAAAATTCGTAACATATAAATAAATAAAAGTTTTAGTTGATAGTTGTGCTGTGCAAAACAAAGAAAAAAAATCGATTTTTATTGATCACAGTAGTCGATATATGGTAATTCGACAGGACACTCTGATAAGAACATAATACCGAGCTTATAATTAAAACCCAATTACTTATATGAGTATCAATGAACACGGAGTGCTGTTTCAAGTCGTCAAATGGAGAATCAGAGGACAAACTTGATGAAAATTAAAGTGCAAACAATATTCAACATATTAGAACTCGTTCAGTAAGATTAGACATTGCAACTATCAATAATTGAATGAATTTATTGACGTAATATTCACATTGACTCGTGGTGTCCATGTGTTCTGCAGATCTATAGTTACACATAAGTATTTTTTTTGAGTCATTGTTATTATAAGTCGGGGAGCGTTGATGACTCTCACTTTTCGTGTATAAAGATACTCAGTCGATCATAGTCATTCCAGTAAAGCGCTGGAAACTCTGTTTACGGAAACTTTTACGCGTTTAGCGAGTTTCGAATAATAACGCGCAAGAAGCTGGGAGCGTGTAAAAATAAACCACAGGAAACGCACATTGCTGTGGAAACAAAGGCTTTACACGCGTGTTCCTGCGGTTTATTTTTACACACTCACAGCGTCTTGCGCGTTATTATTCGAAACTCGCTAAACGCGTAAAATTTTCCGTAAGCAGAGTTTCCAGCGCTTTTCTGGAATGACTATGACTGACTGGATATTATTACTATATAATTTACGAACAAAACAACTGTTAAACTTCTGCGGCCTAAAAATATCTCTTGATAAAGTTACACATTCGACCTAGAAGTTAGAACTAAGTTTCCATCGAGTCTTCCTCTTACATTTGTTCAATGTATTTCTTGCGTTTTATTTGTTTTATTTAATGAAAAACAAATCAAAAATGGAAATCATTAAGAAAAATTTTCATATATGCGTTGAACGGTCAGGACAACACATATCTGAAGTTCCAACTAGAACTTTTACTTCATTTGGTTGTTAGAAGTTATCTGATAATCACAGCTGCCAAAAATGGCCACCTAGCCGTCGAAATTTGAAAAAACTGCATAAAAGATTCCTACTCGTGAAAAAGTTGCACTTCCATTAACTAGAAGAAATATTCGTATTACTCTAAAGGCGATAGATGGTGCCTTAATACAACTCAAACGGTTTTGCTTGTTCTATCAAAATGTATTCCACTCAGTAGAGCGTAAAAAACTGAACAAGACGATGTACTTCTTATTCTTAGCAAAGTAGCTTTGAGAACGAAATAATCTGTTTCAAAAGACAAAGGTCAAACAAAGGCATCCATTAATTTCCATGCATAAACGTTATAATCGCAGCAAAATTTCGAAATTTTACGTTGATAGTAGAGATTTATTGATACGCTGGTTTGACCGTTTCAAAATACGGCTTTGTGAACTTTCATATTTTTAAAGAAAAATTGGCAAAAAAACACTAAGAATAACGGGAAATTCGCCAAACTATGCAGGTTTGTCATATTCGATTCAATGAATCCAAAAGTACCCGTTTCTGTATTTATTCTTGAAAATGAACTTTTAAAGTTCGAAACGTTGAAATATTTGGTTCTAATTTAATTATAAAGTTTTTCAATAAAATGAAAATTACTTTATTATGTTTAAGAAAATCAAAGCAATTTTTAACGTTTTCAAAAGCCGGCAGCGATTTTGAACCCTCCCCACATTTTTGTCTCTTGGCGGCTAGTTTTTAACCAATGTAGTAGTCACGTGCTAACTGTTATTGGTAGTTAACTTCTAACAAGACTTTTACTCCTAAAAATTTGGCTCTATGTAAAATAATAGTAAATTGTTCGATCTGATTGGTTGTGCCGCCATCTTTACGAATTAGATCGGAGAATTAATCTTTTTTATTTATCTTTTTATTATATCTTTATTATATTATCATATTTTAAATAGGATTAAAAACTTAACTGAAAAATTCATCTTTTTTGAGATTGGACGGATATCTCATCCATTGGAGTGTTTCAGTGATCCATTTAAAACACAGGCTGCTTAATTGGTTTGAAATTCTACACTTTCGTCAATTTCCAATAAATTTCCATTCCACACACACACCTTTTTGTTTGTAGATGTTTGTATGTGATTATTTGACTCATTGAATGAATATGGAATTCAGTTATTTTTGGTGACCACTTTTTTTAGCGTTGAACACGATGATGCCATCTGTTTTCAGACATATAATTTCTCATTTACGACAATTAGGTAAAACTTCACTTATACCTGTATAACTTATTACATTGTATTTACCGTTTATATTTGTATCATAGAAACGTTTGATTTATAGAAAAAAATATTCATGTGAACAAAAACGAAGTTTGCCATATATATACGTTTTGTATATTTTTTTAAGAATTCTTTTTAATTATTTGTGTGAGTGGTAAAATAAAACGTTATGGAGAAAATGGACACAACTCAATCGCCTGGAAAAACATGGTATAATTAGCTTTCTTTTTTACATCTTATCCTTGCATCTTAGATGAAATTTTATCTTGAAATTTGAAGTCTTATGTAATAAAGTGTTTCCATCTAATATGATACTTTACTTTCGGTTAAAATACATGTTGTTTTCTGTTAGATCAAAATCTATATGTATTTCAGGTTTAAGTTATGTATTCAAAAACAGAACTATTGTTTACATATATTGTTTTCTCACAATTCTTGACAATCAAATGTAGTTTACTAGTTTAATTGACTGATTTATCATTTTTAGTCTCTTTTCTCAATCTTCTAGTACTCTCCATCATCATAACCGTAATTTTGTCAATTCATCATCTTCGTCTGGTATCAATAATCCGGATATGTTAAAAGATTGTTCATCGTCAAACAAATTATTTAAAGAACTAAAAACACATGCCAAACTTGTTTTGACAAATTTAAATATGTTAAGAAAACAAAAAGAATTATGTGATGTATTACTTATCATTGGACAATCAAAAATTCCAGCACATCGAGCCGTTTTATCAGGTAAATAGTGAAAATGATGAACGTTCAACATTTTCTAAACAAACTCTTTTTTATCGACATATAACAGTTTTTACTGTAACAAATCTCTGTCTTGTTTTTTGGCTTTTGTTATTTATTTTTCTATCTATTTGATTTAGCTTGTAGTCCTTATTTTAAAGCAATGTTTACTGGTGAATTGGCTGAAAGTCGTTTAACAGAAATCGTTATTCATGATGTTGATGAGAATGCCATGGATTTATTAATTGAATTTTGTTATACATCAACAATTTTAGTTGATGAAAAAAATGTTCAGTTATTATTACCAGCTGCTGGTATATTACAGGTATGTTTTTATTCTTCTCTTCTTTCACCATTTGTCTGTAATTATATCATCTTTTATTTATTTGTCTTTATTGATAGATTCAAGAAGTACAAGATACATGTTGTGAATTTTTAAAAACTCAATTAGATCCATCGAATTGTCTTGGAATACGAGCATTTGCTGATACACATTCATGTAGAGAATTATTAAAAATTGCCGATAGATATACACAACATAATTTCAATGAAGTATGTACTAAAATTTAGTTAACAAGAAAAGTATACGAAACACACTTCTTTCATATTTAGGTAAAAGAAAGTGAAGAATTTTCATTTTTACCCATAACTCAATTGATTGATATAGTATCAAGTGATGAATTAAATATGACCAGCGAAGAAGATGTATTTAATGCTGTCATGCAATGGGTACAATTTAATGTTGAACAAAGAAAACAGTATTTACCACAGGTAAATTAATATTTAGAAATATTTAACCAAAAATTCATTTGGATCATCATAATTCTCATCTTTTGAAATAATGGGAAACATACAGTATAGGCAGCCAAGCCTTTTGAAAATAGATGAGGTTCAACATATTTTCTTCTTGTGAAGCAAAATAAAAACTTATCTTATTTTGAATATGAATAAACAATAGGGTTAATCAATAAAAAATAGGAATAACCTAAAGATCATCAAAAAAACTGTTGTTTTTATTTATTCTTCAATGTAAAACTACGACAAATACTGTTCAAATCAATAGAATCCATTCTCTTCTTGTATATATAAGTCAAACTACATGTTTCAACAAAATATTAAACTCAAAAATAGATGAACCTTGAGCCTCTCGAATCCGCTGCCTATGCAATAGATGTATCCAAAAAATGCCTTTGATTTTTCAATTTTCTTACGGTATTCTCTAGCTGTTGATATATATCGTTTTTGTTTTGTATTTATAGATATTAGAACATGTTCGCTTCCCATTGATGAATGCACGATTTCTTGTTAGTACCGTTAGTTCAGATCCATTGATACGAAGTGATCAAACATGTCGTGATCTTGTTGATGAAGCAAAAGATTATTTATTATTACCTCAAGAAAGATTAAATATGCAAGGACCAAGAACACGACCGAGAAAACCAATTAAACCTGGAGAAGTACTATTTGCTGGTATGAATAGATGTCATAAGGATTTTTTTTGCTGACTTTACCATATCGTCATGTTTATTCTTCTCTTTAGTGGGCGGATGGTGTTCCGGTGATGCTATTGCCAGTGTGGAAATGTATGATCCATCGACGAATGAATGGCGTGCTGTTGCTCCAATGAGTAAACGACGATGTGGAGTAGGGGTAGCTGTATTAAATAATCTATTATATGCTGTGGGAGGTGAGATAACATACACAGTTAGTCTTAATTATAATTATTAATCATTTTTGTGTCTTGTAGGGCACGATGGTACCAGTTATTTGAACAGTGTTGAAAGGTAAACTCAATTATATATTTTTTACATATATCTTTTGAAACTAAACTTTTACTTTCCAGATTTGATCCACAAACCAATCAATGGAGTAGTGAAGTATCACCGACGAGTTCATGTCGAACAAGTGTTGGTGTAGCCGTATTAGATGGATGTTTATTTGCGGTCGGAGGACAAGATGGAATGTCGTGTTTAAATCTAGTGGAAAAGTGGGTACAAAAAACGAATAAACTTCATAAGCTCGATTGTTCTATAAATATGTATAAAAATTCCGTCATTTTCTTACGTTTTAGATATGATCCATCACTACAGCGATGGATTCGTGTGACATCAATGTGTACAAAACGTCTAGGTGTAGCTGTTGCGGTATTAGACGGATATTTATACGCCATTGGAGGCAGTGATGGTCAATGTCCATTGAGTACAGGTAGAGATTGATCAAGTAGAATAAACGCTCTTAATTCGAACTATTTTGTCACTGCAAAATAGTTTTGCAAACTGAGCAAAAAGCAAAAAATTGTGTCACACCAAACAGTTGAAATGAATATTTAAATGTCTTAACTGAAGTTTGACACAAACAACAAAAGTCTCTAATATTCACATTATTTTTAAAAAAAGATTTAATCATTTTTTAGTTGAACGTTACGATCCAAAAATAAGTAAATGGTCAGCTGTTGCTTCGATGACGACACGACGTAAACATTTGGGATGTGCTGTATTTAATGGTTATATATGTAAGTTCAAAATGGTTTTAACAATTTACCTATTACAGTCTGATTTATCTTTTAGATGCTGTCGGTGGTCGAGATGATGCTACAGAATTATCAACCGCCGAACGTTATAATCCAAAGACAAACCAGTGGAGCACAGTCGTAGCCATGAATTCAAGAAGAAGTGGAGTATGTATTTACAAATTAAATTCCTTAAAATGATAGTAAAATTTTATTTTGTGTGAGTTAAATATTCACTTTTGTCTGTGTTTTTTTTTCAGGTTGGTTTAGCTGTCGTTAATGGTCAGTTAATGGCTATTGGAGGTAAGATCTATATTAGACTTCTTTTATAGATTTACATAATGTTACTTTTCAAAGGTTTTGATGGTGCCGCATATTTGAAATCCGTTGAATTGTATGATAGTGAACAAAATTCATGGAAATTAAATGGTGGAATGAATTGTCGACGATTAGGTGGTGGTGTAGGAGTTATTAAACTACATCACTTAGACTCTATATTATCGGTGTTGATTACGAATGCAGATGACATAAAAAATCGATCATTATCAAAACTGGTTGATTTATAACAAAAGTTTCTTCTTTTGTTTTCTTTTTTTTTTGCTGTTTATTTGTTATACTTCAATTATCTTGGAATGATGGCAAGAAACATTGCCTGATTGAGTGTAAAAGAAAAAAACTAGTAGTCAGATAACGACGGTCTGCGTTCATGGCACATATAATAATTTAAAAAATCTAATCATTTGTATTGAAATGCTATGATGAAGTCGATAATTCTCTCCCCTCATCTGTTTTTTTTTACCCTGTTTAATGTGCTATTTATGCAATCCGAAGAAAGCCTCTGAAAAATTAGTTACTCTAAAGGATGAGCGAAACTGTTCCTCTTTTTCATGAACTGTACAGGCACTTACTTCTATTGGATCAGAAAAAGTCGTACATTTACGTAAATACTCTCTTATAACTTTTGCTTAATTTAGTTCATTTTCTTATATACCTGATCATGCTTGTTAGGAGCATAGTTAGTCTTTGTTTCATACGGTTATTTTTTTATAAATAAGTCTGTTTCATTTTTAATATCGGCTTCTCAATTCTCTTCATGAAAACTGTACATAAATGTAACAACTTTTTTTCTGTTTTGTAATCAAATATTTCTTTTTCTTTATTGTACTCAGGAAAATCATGAGAATTTATTAAGGAAGTCATAAAATGGGTAAAATTTGAAAAATTATAAAAGAATTTTTCTCAAATTAATAAGTGTTATTGTTTTCTTCCTAATCGTATTGTAATGATTTTTGTAATTTTTAAATTACAAAAAATATCCTTCAAATTCTTTAGAAAATGTGAGATTGATATTAGTTTAGAATATTACTATCGTTCTTATTTTATTATCAGTATACTCATTCATAAGCTGTAGAATGCATTTGAGTTGATTTAATTTTTAAAATTGATGATTTGAAACATGAGATACTTTACTAGACATACAACAAAAAAAGGAAATAATAATGAACAAAATATTTTGTAACATATGTTTAATCGTTTTATAAATGGGTACATATTGTTAACAAAAATAATAATTTCAAAGTTACTTTTAACAACTTCAAAATATTTTTATTCACTGATGTTGTATCCATATTTCAAATCGTCTTTTTCTTTTATGTATCTGTTTTCAGTGGTTTTGCCATTATGGATGATCCAACTCTTTCTGACAATGTTGAGTAATAAACGGTAAGTATTAAAACAATTTGAAATTATCTATTTACTTTTCAGATTTTTCGTGTTTGCGTGTGTGTGTGCGCGTGTGTGTGTGTGTGTGTGTGTGTGTGTGTGTGTGTGGTGCGTACCTACGTGTGTTTTCGTGTTACTGCTCTAGGTAGATATAGTATTTATATAAGACAGTGACATATTACTATTTAGACAGAAATATAAAACTTCGTATCGTATGTGTTCAATCTAAAAGTATTTAAGTGGACATTTACAATTAGAAGATAAAATCAATAAAGTACTGTAAGTTAGAATGACTATGATCATCATAGTCCAGAATATACAAAATATCTATATACTGTATGTCTAAATTGAACAATTATCTCATAGTTAATACGTTTTTCTGTTAATGAAAATGTTTTATATCTTCCTATTTAGATTTCGTTCTCTTCTTCTTTAATGAATATACAACATGAAACAATGCAAACAATGAATTCAGCCGATTTACAACAGTATTCTTCTAGTGGTGATGTTGATGATTCTGGTTTACATGATGATTTAGGTGATGATTTATCATTACAATTAAATTCTACCATTTCAAATTTAGTTATTAAAGGTCGTGTACCAAAACCGGATGATGAACGAAAACTATTTGTAGGTCAATTATCATCAGATATAACAAAAGATGATTTATTTAATTATTTTTCAAAATTTGGAAAAATTGAAGATGTCACAATTAAATATGATGTACCTGGTGGACGAGCAAGAGGATTTGCATTTATTTTATATGATAAAAAAGATTCATTACAACAAGCATTACAATCACAAGAACATTATATTAATAATTTTCAAATTGATCCAAAACCAGCACATAGAAGACCAGGTAATTATAATTATAAAATGAATAGTAAATAATGATTAATTATTTATTTATCATTTTTTAGCTGTAACAAATCCTGTTAAAAAAATATTTATTGGTCAATTACCACTTGAATTTCCTGAAGAAGATTTACGAAATTATTTTCAACAATATGGACCCATAGAAAATATTGATTTACCTATTGATCGTGAAAAAAATTGTCGCCGTCCATTTTGTTTTATTTCATTTAATTCGGAAAAAACAGCTGAAGAAGTTCTTAGACAACAACGACATATGATTAATGGTGTTTCAATTGAAGTACGGCCAGCAAAACCAAGGGTAATTGAATAGTATTCTGTTATAATTATATTATCATTATTTTCACTTTATTCTTTTATTTAGGCTCATGAACAAGGTGCAGGTGGTAATATGACACCACAATCGATGATGTCCGGAGGTGGAAATAATTCTTCTTATGACGGAAATAGTGTTGGTAATTCGTATGGTGGCCACATGAATCAATGGAGTCAAGGCGGTAATTCAGGATCATATTGGAAGTCGGATAATAATAATCAAAATACAAATTCATTTGCACAATGGTCACAAGGTATTGAATCTCGAATTATTATCTTTTCATTCTTTGTTTGAATTTTTTATGTCAATTTTTTATAAGGAACGAATGGTGGCAGTTTATCGTCGGATAATTATCCACATCAATCATCAGCAGTTTATAATATGTATCCACAACAAATGTCATCAAATTCAACTCATTCTTACCCAAATTATGGTCAACCACAAACAAATTATGCCTCAGCCTATGGACAATATTCAGAACAAGCTGGTTATGGAGGTTCTCAGGGTAAATATCATAATCAACAACAAGATCTAGAAAATGAGTCATAAATATTAGGTTTAGGTTTACATCGATTAGCAACATCTTCGAATTTGAACATGACACAGTTTCTAATATTTTGCTAGATAGATTCACTTACTTTTTGACTCTATTGAGATTTATATTTGCCATCCCAGTCAGTCATAGTCATTCCGAAAACTGCAGGATTCTAAAATTTACGAAAAATGTAACGCGTAAGTGAATGTAGCATATCTACACGCGAAAAAACGGCGAAGTCGATACAAACAGCAGGTAGGAACATGCGAGTAAAGCCTCTTTTTCCATGACAATGTGCGCTTCCTGCGTGTTATTTTTCCCACACTCGCAGCTTCTTGCGTGTTTGTGTCACAAATTCGCTAAACACGCTACATTTTTCGTAAATTTTGGAATCCTGCAGTTTTCGAAATGACTATGACTGACTAGGACGGCTCAGCTTCAGCTGTAACATTTTTTAAGCGATGCAAAACTCACTCATCATTTTTGTCCATCATTTAGCACAAGCTAAGCTTAAAAAAGGCGTATTAACTACTCAAAAAAAACTATCACCTAGTATTACGGATATATACCAGCAGTTCACTTTCAGGTACATCTATTTCAAACACATGGAATCCTCAACAGCAACCACAATATGCTACCACTCAACAACAACAACAACAACAACAACAACAACAACAACAATCAGCTCAGTCTGCTTATGATCAACAAAGTTTATATGCTTATTATGCCGCCAATTATGCTGCACAATTATATAATCAACAACAACAGTCTCAACAAACACAATCGGGTGTCAAAATGGATCCATCTTTATCATCAAATAATGGTGGAGCAGGAGATGCCATAGGATTGGCACAAAAACAATCGAATTTATCATCGTCTGCCTACCATTCATATCAGTAACAGCGATAACAAAATTAAATCTTTTAGAATTTTAATTTAAACCAAAAAAAAAATCCTGTTATTGTTGTTAAACTTTTTCTTTGTCATTTTTCGTTTTCTTCTACTAATATATATAAAATATATGAAAAGCAAGTTTGAGTTTTAAATTTTTTGTTCCATGGGACTATTTTGAAAAGAAAATATTTGCTTCTTTTTTTGCTATATTTGCTATTCTTGTTTGTGTTTCATACACGCATGAGGATAATATTCGGTACGCTTTCTCTTTTTCTTCACCTTCTAAAAACATGCAATATACGTTCGCCATGCGAATTCTAATCTCTTTCCAAACTTGATATATACTCCCTCTATTGTACGTGTTTGTTTATTCTTATACAGTTTCATTGTATTTTAAATCAATAGCAAGTAAAAGAAAAACACCAATACAAAAATGTTAAATGTTCAAATTTTATTTTGTTGTCTATCGCGCACACTCTGCGGTATGTCATAAAATAAAATAAAACTTATTTGAAAGGAAAATGAAAACGAAACAGTCACAAAAATTAAAATAGTGTAGTTGATGGAAGAAAAAAAACAATTTCACCTACAGGCATTTTTCTCATAACGGTATTTGTTTGATGAATAAATTTTGTTATTCAGAAAACTCGAGCTGTGTTTTGATAGGTAAGAATTTTACAATCTTTTTTCGTGATAGATTTGACGTTCTAACGTTCTGCTTCTAATTTAAAAAAGAATAACCAACGTAACGATTGTTCCACAATAAATTGCCCTCAACCTTGGTGCATTTTTCTACTATTTTCTATTTATAAAAAAGTTTCTTTTATATACCAAACGATAGATAATTTAATTCTCTACAAGATTGTATACATATCTGAAATTCTGAATCACTTCGATTTTACATCTAAAAGAATATTGATAGCCAAGATGACTTATGAGGGAACCTCTCGAGGTGATAAAACGCTTGTTGCTCGAAATCTAGTGGATTATAGGTTATCGGCCATGCTGATTACGAATATGACTATGGGGGCGGCCCTTAGCCCTTCGAAGATCAGGTTTTCTAGAAAACCAGTTTTTCAGAAACCAGAATATAACCAGAACCTTTTTTAATCAGGCATGATTGTAGCCCGCAAATTTCTGATTAAAATGAGATATTCCCCAGCTTTGCACGACCTTTCTTAGCAAAGTTATAGAATTTACCACAAAAGCCCTAAATTAATTTTCTTCTTATTTCTGTAGCTCTGACAATGAACGTTGTAAATTCTATAATTTTGCAAAGAAAGGTCATGTAGACCTGGAAAAGGTCTCATTTTAATCAGAAATTTACAGGCTACAATCATGGCTCCTTAAGAAAGGTTCTGGTTATATTTTGGTTTCTGAAAAACTAGTTTTCTAGAAAACCAGATCTTCGAAGGGCTAAGGGCTATCCCCATGGTCATATTCGGCATCAGCATTGGCGATAACCTATAACCCACCAGATTCTGAGCAAAAAGCGTTTGATCTCCTCGAGAGGTTCGTTCCCTCGTTAGTCGTCGTTTACCATGTGTAGATTCAACAGACATTTTGGAATAACGGTGAGTAAGTATGGTTTACCCGGTCTTTGTATACGTTATAACAAACGTCCTCAGCCTGATAACTACTTGAATTCATTCAAAGATTGTGAGTATTACTCAGATTTCGTGTAGGAGGAACAATCATTAGCCAACAGGCTACTTAATTGTATATCTTTTTCAAATCAATGGAAAGTAAATTCTTATATATCACGAACAAGGCACGATCATTATACTGTATACAGCTGTGCGGAAATTAAATTAGTTTGAAAGCTATTTTTATTTAATTATTTTTGAATTACTTTCAAATTAGTGCCAGCACTTTTAACTACAACGCAAAAGGGTACAATTTGTGAGACAGCGAAGAACATCAACTCAAATTGACTTTTTAGAGACTTTTCATTGTCGTGGTAGCTGCTTGAAAATAATGGAGCAAAAATTCAAAAATGAAACTCTTGTCACGCATGTGTTGATTTAATTTCAAACTAATCTAAATTCTTCAACACCTCCCTTGGCGGTGTGGGAGATACGTACAACCCATTTTAACTAATATTATAGAGCAAAGGCTGACTGATAGAGCCGAAAAACTATATTCATCGTCATACTTTGATATGATCTATACTTCCCGATAGTTTGAATAAGATCGAATTTAAAATTGTTGAGAACAGTTAAAACATGCATTCTATTTTGAAGCTTAGTTTAATGGGTTTTTTTTTATCATAACATATTTCAATGACACAGTGTTCGAACTTCAACGACAACAGATCATATATTAACTTTAGACAAGTCACTTATGTGGATATGCTTCGGATCACTCATCTACTAGCATCCTTACTACATTATGACATATAACAATGTTTCTCTAGCGCTCTACACTAACAAAGATGGATATTCTTCTTCGTTTCCTTCTGTCTTTCTAACTCAAAATAAATCGATATGCAGAAGTCTCTAAAAATTTATTAAATTCTAATTCTATAATACAAAGTCTAAAGCCTAGAATATACTATTTCAAATGTCTAGATTTTTATTGATTTTTAAATTCATTAGTCACGTTTAACTTCATTTTTCATATATCAAAAATAAACGTCATTGACACTAGGCAAATGTGTTTATAATTAATTCTTTCTTTTTATATTACAAAACACTTTTTCAATGTGCTGTTTTTTCAAAAAAGCAGTTCTGTTTATATATTTCGAAATACTTTTTTTTGTCCTTCTCATCTCTCTCTCTCTCTCTCTTCCTCTCCCTCTTAGAAAGATGAACAAAAACACGAGAGAACAATGAAATAAAACGATGTGCTATTAAAATTTTCCTCGTTCAAGGATAGTTTTTTTAAAGACTAAACTGAACATTTTTTTTTCGTGTTTTCTCTTCGGGTAATATTACAGGTATTCTGCACATGTTATTGTGAAGAAAAAAAAAGAAGAAGAAGATAATTTCATGCTATTATGATTATTCTCTAGAAGAGTACATTTACGAACAAATTTAAAAATGATAAGTAATTGACAAGTGAGATTTAAGTTATGTTTTTTAAATTTTTTCCTTATACTTGTTTATTTAATCGTCATAAACGATTTATTACACATTGTGTATATCTTCTATTCCTGGTGTTCTTTATTATTGGTTTTACCATAGGTAAATTCAATTTTTTCTTAAATTTATCAGAGTTTTTGTTAAACTCATAAGAATAAATTCAAACATACCATTACTTGTTTTTAGTGACAACAATGTGTTATTCTAAACATTATTGTAATCCATTGATGGCTATACCGGTTACAATTGGTTATTTTAACAAAATTAGTGATTGTATCTATAATACAAAACGAATAGTTAAAAATTGTAAAAATGAAAATGTTAAAAATGAACGATATTCTTCTGTGATTATAGAAAATAATCAATCATTTACTGATACAATTTCTAGTCCATTTGTAGATCGAATAAAATTTCAACTTCCTTATTCAATCAATTTTGATTTATCATTATATGAATCTCGTACACAATCAGTTAATAAAAAATGTTCACATACTGTTCAAAGTACTCGTTTTTTTAATCATATAATTAAAAATGATGTACTTGATCATCTAACATTTATATTACGTAGTAAAAATATATTTTATTGTTCAGTACCAAAAGTAGCAACAAAAACTTTATTAATTTTATTTACATATCTTCATACGGAAGAACTTATCACTTATATTACTAATAATAATAGTTATATAGATAATGAATTAATTGAACTTGACTATTCAAAACGTCAAACTCTATTTAATCTTCCATTTTTACAAGAGATGATGACACCTAATAGTTCCAGTATAATAAATAATCAAACAATATTAGATGCTAACGTAAGTAAAGATAAATTGAAAAAATCAAAATAATGAACACTATTTATTAATATTATTAAACTTTTTATTTTTTAAAGTTGAAAAATTCAATTTATTAATCGAAAATGTTAAATAGAAATTGCAAAAAAATAAGTGTTCTACAAGAGAAAGAGATAGAAAAAAAAGAAAAAACATAATAAAATAAAGAATATTGTACACAACTTCAGTAAATACACGTGCACAATATTCTGCCAAGGTAAACTAAATTGAGAAAATGAATAATGTGTTGTTGTTTTTTTTGATTATAAAAAATAAGCTAAAATAGAAAAGAATGAATTAAGTCTTTTACATATTATCGATCTGAATCATTTATTTTCTTCGTTATCAAAATAACATTAAATTTTAAATTACAATTAAGAAAAAAACAAAAAAAATTTTTTTTACGAATTTTAAAATGAAATGAATATAGAAAAAGAAAATTTATGCCCTAAGCTTACCTTTTTTTGGTTAATAAATAAAATATTAAAAATAATACATTAAATGCTAAAGATAGATATACCAGACGTTTCTTGAAAAAGTTAAAATATTAATTAGATTGTTTGAGAACTTTTTATCTTCTAGGTAAATTGAAAAATCTTTTTCTTTTTTTTTTTTTAACCATGAGTGATTTTAAAAGAGGCTACATCAAGTACCTTTTTGTGTCATGAAGTTCTTAAAAGTTCATTTTTTAAGAAATTTTCATTTATTTTTCTAGGACAATGTAAATGATTTTACTTGGTACAAAGAAGTTCAACTGAATGTATTGAATACATTTAAATTTAAATTATTAAATTCTTCAGATCAACAAGATCTTTGGTTTTTATTTCAAAAAAATATTTTTCCATTAATAAAATTAAAAAGTATTACATCTAATCGATTAATCAATTTTATTCATCAATCTATAAAAATAATATTTGTACGACATCCATTTGAACGTTTAGCATCAGCATATTTCGATAAAATAGTTCAAAAAACAAATAATAATCATCTAACATTATACGATGATATTCGACGACAAATATGTCGTAAATATGCTCATAATTATTTAAATGTTAGTCAAATATTATTTTATGAAAAACAACAACGATATAATCATCAAAAATTTTCTAAAAAATTAATCAAACAAGTAATTCATTTTGATACTCAAAATGAACCATGTAAAAATATTATACCTATATTTGATCATTTTGTTGAATTTATTTTAACTTCGAATGCTCGATCCGATGTTCATTGGACACCATATTCTCATTTATGTCATACATGTACATTAAAATTTGATTTTATTGGAAAATATGAAACAATTCAGAATGATGTACAATTTTTATTAAAATGGTTAGGTCAAGATACTAAAGAATGGAAAATGAAAATGATAAATAGTAAACCAACAATGAAAAAGATGAGAATATATAAAGAATTATATGAAAATCTTCCATATCATATTCTTTGTAAATTACAATCTATTTATTCTGATGATCTAAGATTGTTCGACTATAATATTGAAGATTTTATCAATCAAACAAAACTAAGACGTTGTTCACCTAACAAGTATAATAAACAATTTTCAAATAGATGGCACATATAAGAACTTTGTGTAAACAAAATGTAAAACGATCGTTCTAATAGTTTCTAGTCAATAAGATAGAAGATATTATTTTAATTTAAAGTATTTGCACTTGTGAATTTTAATATTTTTGTTTTTCATTTTTTTATTATGTTAAAATGTCTTAAACGTCAAATTTGTTTTGAGTAAATACATTATTGTTTTGAGTAATGTACATATTCAAAGAGAATTAATTGATATGTCAAGGTAATGCTAATATCAGTTTATTATAGACTTACTTTCCCATGTATCCGTTTGCGTTTGAGCTCTTCAAATGTTTCATTTCTAGGTCATTTTTAAGCGTTTGATGAACAAAACGTGTTTGCATTGCGTTTATGAACGGCGTTTTTTTTAGAGTCGAAATTGTTACACGGGTCATCATTAATTAGCAACAGATTGTTAGTATTTGCATTTGATATCTTGAAAAAGTTCTCAACGTTGTTCTGATTAGAAGAAAAATTTGAGAAACTTCTTTCCGACATTTTAAAATATCTAACACATTAGAGAATAAATATAAAAGACAATATACAGATGTATTTTTGAGTATTTGAACATCTACATTGATATAGTACAACTAGTTCCGACAAAGAGAAATTCAAAAGAATCTCTGTAGATCATATTGAATTAGAACAGTAAACTTCAAACACATCAACATTCTCATCATCATAATACTGCTTTTCTGTTTGGAATGCATATTCATCTTCTATAAGAACTCCCATATTCTCAATTCAGCTTTAATTATTTTCGCCTTTCTCTCACAGATTTTCAAACCTGAGCATTCATCGTTAGTTAAGCAGACTATGATGATATCAGTGATTAGTCCTAAAAGTTGCAAATACCATCTCTGACTTGTTAGAAAAAATAAATGAGTTGTCGATGCGTTCACAGATAACTACCTCGATTTTGTTCAGAATTTGAGACACTCGCTGATCGACTCTCATTCATCACCGTTTTATATCAATTTTGGTGTATTATTATATTCATCACCATAGTCGATTGCCGAACTCACTCTAGCGTATGTTTGCTATTGTGGATGGAATGACTAGATTGCCATCGTTCGGCCCAACACAACAACAATTTCAGCAATAGCGACCGTTCTCTTTCCATTCAATGTTTTTGCCTATTCGATAAACTTGTGTGGAACCGGTTCTTCCTTGACCACTTAACATTCTACATGCGAGTAAAGATCATACAAAAATGAGTACAAGCACTGAAAAGCAGCCATCATCAACAACTTCATTACCTTTCAAAAAAGATCGGCACGCTGACTGATTGAACTGTGTCAATGGGCAGACTGGTAGACACTGTGTATGTGTTTCTGAATAATTTCAAACTCTAATTTCTACCATTGGATCAATATCAGTGGCAATAGTGCAAGCAGTGTGTTACATCAATCATCTGATTTGAGAACAAAAATGTTGTGAAAAAATTTGTATCGATGAGTGATTGTGCAGATGGCAGCTTAAAACAATATTTAATATTATCATTTAGAAAAATACGCTCACACAAAAAAACATCAAATGTGTTTTCAGAAGAGAGTTTTTTCTTGCACGTCCATGGGTAAAAATTTCAATGGATATTTTTTCGATCCAAAACTTGGCGTGCTATATATTGTTCAATGCAGTTTCTGACACTAATTCTGAATATGGTATTAGTTTTTGTTAGAGACTTTCCTGGAACGAGAAAATTAGATTTTATCTAAAAAATAATTCTTTTTTTTGTCCAAAGCAGAAAAATAAAGTTCATTTAGAGTCACGGAAAAGTACTTTTTCGTATTCAGCACACTCAATAACCCTGAAGATTTTCTACGTTTGGCGAGGAGAGCACAGTGGGCAATCAAGTCAACATTAGGTGAAAAATCGAAAGTGAGATTTTCCAAATTTTGAATAGCGGTATGTACACAATAACAAATGTCCAAGCTTTTAGTAAAAAACTTTCTCAGTATTGGTCGAAAAAAATAAGTCACAAAAACACATGTGTTTCACGCACGATCGGTGAAGTTTTATTTCAGTTATTTAAGTTTAGCTTTTCTGAGATGCAATGTTGCGTGGAGTACTTTTCGTACTGAAATAAAAAGGTTTTTTCTGAAAAGAATGGTTTTCAAAAAAGGATTCTTTGTAAAATTGAGTTCCCAAATTTTCCCAATGCCCAATCTTGATGAAACTTTCAGAAAATGTTCTTCTATATATGACACGTCTATTCTGTTGGCATAAAATAGCATAAACTTTCTTAGGCAGAGAAACAGATTTTACTAAAGCCTTGCTTTTCCACAGGGTTTTCGCCCGTTTGCAGGCTACACTCACCCTTTTTTCAACAATAATAACATATTCGAAATCAGCGTGAAAAGCTGCATCGAATGATATATAATTTACAGCAGTTTCTTGGGAAAAAATTCTAAGTTTTCGTGGAAGGCTAAATTTGAGGCAGCACCGTGATACTTGAAGTCGGTGGTTTTATATCGTTAGAAAAGAGATCTGGAGGCCTACAAACAATTGTTTTATAGGTTTTCGAGTACGGTGGATTCAATGGACTTATTTAAAAAAATTCTAAACTGGTTTTGTAAAGATT